TCAGTGCTATTTATTGTCCACACATGTAGTTAATACCTTGTCCTTTCGTCTGTATATGTCACATTTTCCAACCGGACTGGTATCTTCAAGAAAAACAATAGTTGCCATGACTTTTGCCCCAACCTATGTATATGTTTCCATTTTTCACATGCTAAATAATTTTTATACAGCAATCTGCACACAGTCTTGTGGCGAGAAGCATGTTTCGGCGCTGGGCGATGAATATCATGGTTTTTGTTTTGATTAGTTTTAAATCAGTTTTTATAATTTTGTTCACATTTCTTACAGAGATATTTAAAATTTTTGCAATAGTTCTGTTGAGGGTTTAATTTTCTTTTCAGACATGAGGTGCAACTTTAGATTTAATAACCTTTGTTGGAACATTTTTTTTTTTTTTTTTTTTTTTCAACATACCTTTGTTGGATATGCATTTTTTGCCTTTTGCTCAGTCAGTTTCTTTCTTTTCATATTAATTTTCACTTATTATAGGTGTAGAACTATTAAACTTTTTGGAATAACTGAATAAGAATATTTCTCTTTGGACAGCACAAAAATATAGCCTTCGGTCCATTGTTTATTTTTAGTGACATTTTAAAGAAAATATTTTTAATGCTGTAGATAATCATTGAACCTTATTCCAATTTGATGCCAGTCAAGTTTGTATTTTAAAATTAATGCTTAAATTCATGGAGAAAATCAAAGTCATTTCAAAAATGTGTAAACATGCTCTGTATGGCAAAGCGTGCGAAATATATCTGCCTAAAGGGAGGGATGCCTTTGTGGAAGATTTTCTGAAGAAAACTGACTTATATTTACATCATGCATGTGGAAACCATGCACCTAGTTTTGGCTTTGGCTGCGATTGAACTTAGGTAGGGCTCCCAGTATTCGGCCAACTTGGCCATTGGTGGACATATATGCACTGTTACATGAAACATAACTTGCATTTTGAGTATGTATTAAAAATAATGCATGTAATTTTCATTCAGTTTATACATATTTCTCAGGTAAAAACTTTGATACATGCTAAAGTATTGTGTTGTTGTTGTGACTTTTCTCGCTTGTCTGACAGTAATATCAGAGCAAGCTCATGAAATTCATTGTCGCAAGAAATGCAAGATTGCTCCTGTTGTTGAGCATCATACAGGTGACAGTATGACTTCGCTGACCATTAGCATAATTAATAAAAGATTATTTCTAATTTCAAGACATTTCTGATTCATGTAATCTTACAGGATAATTATTTGCATGATTATTCTATAAAGTTAAAGTTTGTTACATTTTTAACTTCTATTTTTTCATAAACTCAAAAATTATGAAAACAGCTTTTTATAGCTTAATGCTTAAGAGTTGCATCGTAATTTTTCTATATTTATTTTTCCTGGTTTTGACAAAACTGGAGAGTATTATTATTTTCACTTGTATTTCTGTACATTGATTACTACCTTAGAAAATGTTTATTTCTAGAAATATTTTAATCACAGGTATTCAAAATATAGCATCTATATCATTTTTTAAATCTAAAATCGACACATTTTAGCAGTTGTGTTCTGCCCTTTCTTATTTTTTGAAAAACTGGTCACATAAAATTTTCTTAATCTTTTGAATCCCAGAAAAATTCACTGCATTCATTCAGCATTGTCATGAATATAGTATATTTGTGAGGAAGATATACTTAATGTTAGTCTTGATCCAAAAGTCTTTTCCAAGAATTTGATGGCAGAGAAAGAAAAATATGAGGTTCTTGGATTCCATCTCCAGAAATGCTCTCAGTTGGGATAGGAATGGAGTTATATAGCTCTTGTATGCTTTGCTTTATCTAAATAACAAATTCTTAAGATTTTAAATATTTTCTTTATTATACCATTTCTTTCTTAAAAAAAAGAGAGAGAAACTACTGCACAGTAAGTGATGCTCGCAGAAAACCTGATTTAGTACACCACAGTTGCTTTTCTATTATCTTCATATACAGAATGCATAGGAAAGTCCCTTGAAAATTCTTGGCAAGCAGAGAGAGTTACAGCTATGCAAATGAGGTAACAGTATAGTAAAGTGACTATGCCTGACCTAATGCAAATGACAGCAGCATCCGCAGTGGCGAAATTTGGAAGATAGGCATTGCAAATTGAAAACGAAAAGAAATTGAGCAAAATTTCTAGTTTAGAGCTTAAATTAAGTTTTAGAGCATCAATTAATTAGTACGAAACAACATTTGGTTCACAGGGATAAGATAAACTGTCGCCTGTTATACTCAGAGGTGCCCACAATCCATGTACTCCATTTTGTGTGAACGTTTGAAAGGAATGGCCATAGGTATTAAGAAGTATGCAACCTTTTATTGCAAAAAATACATACTTATGTCAGTAGAGTTAGATAACACACACACATGCACACAAAAAAAGTAAAAGCTAGCTGTCACACAGTGATAGCAAGTTAATGTTATCATCTGCCATCTAGATTAATGAGGTTTGAGATTATGCTGTTTGTATGAAGCGTGAGCCAACACCTTTTAAACTAAAATTTTAAATGCATTGGAAATTAAAGTTTTACAGACGTTACAAGTACAGTACAACGTCACAATCTGCAACTACTCACTGCTACATTTCCGAAATACGAATATGCAGAGTAGAATCCCCACACATCAATTGTGGACATCTTTGGGTATACAGGCAATAATTTATCTTATCCGTGTGAAACAAATGTTGTTTTGTACTAATTAATTGATGCTTTAAAACTTTCTAATTGGAAATTTTGCTCTATCTCTTTTCATTTTGATCTGCAATGCCTATCTTTCAAATTTTACCAGTGGGAGCGCTGCTGTCATTTGCATTAGATCAGGCGCAAGCCCTTTACTATGTCATTACCTCACTGTAGCTCTCTCCTTTCACAAGAATTTTCAGGTTAAAAGGACCTTTCCTATGCCTAGAATGAGAGAAATAGAACTTTCTCCCTTCTTTTTCTGGTGCAGAGTGTACATTACAGGGTGTCTCAAAATATCATCGCCAAACTTAATATACTGGTCTGTCATACCATGACAAACAAGATTTACATAGGAACTTGTATCTCCAAATGCAAAAACGGCAATCGCTACAGGGCACTTTTCACAGGTTTATGCTTATTGTTGGAGTTGGAAATGTGATCATTTCAGGGGAAGACGTTGCAGGAGAAAGATGAATGGGTTTAGTTCTTTACAGACATTATGTGGAAAGAGTATTGCCGGATCTGATGGTTGACGTTCCAGCAGCTACATGCCGAAACATCTGGTTTCAGCATGATAGAGTGCCTGCACATTTTAGCACCACTGTACAGGAATAACTTGACAAGATTGCTGGATTGGCAGAGGCAGATTAATTGCATGGCCACAACGATCCCTTGACCAGACTCCTTTGGATTTCTACCTCTGGGGATACATAAAGTCCATGGTGTATGAGATGACAGGAACATTGGACATGGTTCTCATAACAAGGATCGTGGAAGTGGCAGCATGTGTCCGACACATGCTGCAAATTCCACGAACGGGTCCGTGAATGTGGAGACGTTATGAAACTGGATTGTGGCAAATGGAAGGAATTTTGAACATCTTCTGTGATTGAACCATGTTCTTTAATCCAGATTTATGGTTCTAAAGGATTATATTTTAATGTGTTTACTGCAATTAAACATTTTTGTCTAAATTTTGATGAGAGCAAGTATAGATTAATATATCTTTTGTCAGGAAAGTTCCAGGACATTTGTTTTTATTATTTATGAGTTTTCAGTACTAAAAAGGAACAAATGTTGTTTTTATGTTACCTGGGGTGTATATTTAAGTCACATGACCTTGGCTATGTTTCAACGCAAACTTATTAGGTAGTAGGGCTGTGCTTAGCAACACACTGTTTGGATTGTTGTCGCATTCGTTAAGGTGACACAATGGATGGTGATTGTGACAAAGAGTGAACATTAAGTTCTGTGATAAGCTTAGGAAAACCCCTAGTGAAATGCGTAACATGATTAAGCAAGCACATCCAGGCGAGGCACTTTCAAGAAGTCGTGTTTTCACGTGGCACAAAAGGTTTCCTGAAGGCTGAGATTCAGTGCAAGACGATACCAGAGCTGGTCACCTGTCTATAGCATATACCTATGCAAACGTGTAGCATGTTGGGCAGTTATTGTAAGAACACCATCGTGTAGCTATGCTTATGATATCAGAAGAATTGAATCTGAATCATGATGTGCGTCGTAAGATTTTACGCGAAGATTTAAGGAAATGGAAAGCCCTCACTCGCTAACAGAAAGAGGAAAGACAAATTTCTGACTATTGGATAGAGCCAGACGTGATCTCACATGTGTCAAAGATTATTATGATTTTTTCTTGTTTCTGTGAGTGAAAAGGTGACTGAAAGGAAAGTTTCATCAAGATAATTGCAGACATCTAACAGACTCTGACAAATGAGCTTGCAAGCATCACAGTTGAAGATTTCCCCACTTGCTTTGAAGATCTCCAGAAACGTTGGCAGTTGTGTATAGATAGCCAAGGGGACTACTTTGATAGCAGCTAGGATCATTACTTGGTAAATGCAGTTTTCTATATTTTACGACCTTTGTCTTGCAATTCTTTAAACAAAAGGATGTAAATTTCTTATAGTCGCATTTGTAATTATCACTTGGGAATATTGAACTGTTATGAATCACATAGGAATTAGTACAACATAAACAGACTTTATTTAAAATTATACTTGCATTCATACTAAAAAAGTTTAACATAATTACAAAAATTTAATATTTATAATATACAACTATATTAAAAATATTTCATTAAATCAGTTAAGTTTTTCTCAAAGACTTAATATTTTGAAATTTCATATGCACTTATATTTTTTAGGAATGTATAGTAACACGTCAAAAGATCTTTATTGCACATGCTGCCTTTAATTTTCTTACTTCTAAAATTTATATTTTTGTACAATTTTTAAATACCATATTTATGTTCACTTAATAAAAACGTTTTTCCTTTACAGTTTGGAACAAACTGGAATATTTACTTAATAAAAACTGATGGAAGCTTTGTTAAACATTCAGCTGCAGAGTTACTTCCTTTTGCATTCACTCCTGATTCTTTATCCAAGGTGTGATTTCTACTTACCATCTTTGACTAGAACAGTTTTATGTAGATTATTTTTACGACTTCACAGGTATTAAATGTTTTTATTGTATACAATGTTTCAAGTTCGAGATTTTTTAATTTGGTATATTATACAGTTTCATTTAACAGGTTTCAAAAATTATCACAGCACAATGGACATAATAAAATATAACTATATGAACAGATCTTCTCATTTGCACCTTGATTTTACCAAAAAGGACACCTTAAACAGAAATAAATAAAAAATATGTACAACATATATTTAATGAAAAAAGTAAAATAATAATAAGAGAAAAAACCATATTAGTGCAATTATAAGATCAATTTTTTTTTCTTAAAGTACAAGGTAACCAAAAAGGTTCTTGCTGTTTCTGATATGGCATTGGAAGAGTGAACCTCAACATAAAAATAGTCGTCAAACCTGATGAAGTGGTTAGGATGGGAATCCAAGAGTTATAAAAGCATGTTGCATCAGTACTTCAAACATAACTCACACAGCGACTGATTGAAATGGATGCGTCAAAATCACTTGTTCAGAGTTGTTTGCTGTATGATTTTAAAGTGGGCTTGTCAGCAGCAGGATCAAGTTGCCGAATTTGCCACGGATGATGCTGTTAATGAACAAACTGCTAGGCAATAGTTTCAGAAGTTCAGGTCAGGGAATATGTCTCTTAGTGATGCACCACACAACGGTCGGCCACAAGCGCTGGACGATGAGGCCCTGAGAGCAGCCATAGAAAGTGACAGTAGCCAAGCATGTGGTGAGCTTTCTGCACACTTCCAAGTATGTGACGAAATGATCAGACTCCATTTGTACGGCATAGGAAAGGCATACAAGCTGAGCAAGTGGGTACCCCACTCATTGTTCGATGCAAACAAGCAACAGTGTGTCGCTGTCTGTCATTGCTCACTCAGCACTGCAATGCATCCATATTTGATCGAGTACTCACCAGCGATGAGAAGTGAGTCCAGTACGACACACCCAGGCATTCCAGACATTGGCTGTCACAACAGGACCCTGTGCCTCACACTGCGAGACCTTTACTCCCCAAGATTATGCTCTGTATCTGGTGAACTAATTGGCAAGTGCTACATTATGAGCTCCTGCCAGTGGGCCAAACCATCACGGCAGGCCTGTACTCACAGAATGGAATGTGTTCATCAAGCACTCATGCACAAAGAGCCAACATTGGTCAATCGTAAGGGTGTACTCCTCCATGATGTGGCTCGGGAGGCCAGGGACACCATCCAGCGACTGGGCTGGGAGACCCTACCCAATCCACCAGACTCCCCCCAGACTATCACGTTTTCCATTCCCTGGACAAACCATCTTTGTGGGAAATCATTCAACAACTGGCCAGACCTAGAAAAGGCCCTCTTTGTTCTTTGTGTCCAAGACTCCCGAGCTTCATCGTGATGGCATCGCACAGCTAGCCATAAGTTGGCAAACAGCACTGGATGCTGATGTGATTACTTTGAGGATTAGTGATTATTGTATTATGACTTTCTTTCTGACTGTTCAAAATGGCAAGAACTTTTTAGTTACCTTGTATTTTCCTGAAAACCTCATTATTTTTATATATGCAGCTCAGCATTTAAAAAAAAAATAGTTTGATTATTTATTACTTATTTTACATTATTTATTATTATTTAATTACTTATTTTTACATTAAGAAACACATTCATCTATATTGAACAGAAGGTGTAATATTTAAACCATCTAAATATTTTTGTTACGGAACATTTTAATAAATCAAGCTTGTGTAAGACTTTCCTATAATGCAAGCTCTTTTATTCTCGCAAAGCACCTTATATTCCGTCCAATATGGTAGTTCACTTAATATAGCTACAGAATTTATTTTATACATATTAAATAGGGTTACATACATACAAAGTTAGGCTTTTTGTACATATTTTACTCTGCTTGACTGATTAATTTAAATGTAATTTTTAAATTCTCTAATTTTGTGTTTGGTAGTTGGCACCTTTGACAATATTACTGTGAGGTTTTTGCCAAGCTATTACAAAATGAGTAAAGAAAAAGATATCAAAGTTGTGAAAGAAAAACACATAAAATTACCTCTATGTCAATACAGGTGCATATTATTCTGTCAAAGTAGTTTCTTACAGATGATATCAAAGTGCTGTATCATTAACTTGCTAAATTTTAGTACAATGTGACTTTTACCTGTTTCCAGCTGAAATCCACATTGATACAGCAACCCAGTTTGCAAACCATAGATGAGATAACAGGGGGGAGGGAAATTTACAATGCTAAAGGAGTTAAAAATTTCAACCTTTGCTCAAAAGGAGAAGACCAATGAGTTTACTAAACATTTTTCTATAGCATAATTTTACAAAGCAGTATTCTTCCAAAAAACCAAGGGATGAATTTGTACTCAATCGAAAAATTCATGGGTGAATATACCTTGAATAACTGTGCATTAAAAAAACATAAAATTCAATACTTTAGTAGTAAAAATTCCCACTGACAATTATTCTTAAGTTTTTATTTTTATACTCCCTCTTCCAATTTAATAAATACATATGAGAAATTAAATTAATCTTAAAGAGCTTACCAGCCTATATAGCTTTGGCACAAGTTCTCATGTGAGGTGGCCTGTTTAATGAGTAAAGCTACTTGCTCTTCTACTTCTAATGGCTTATCAGGATCAAAATCCCTACCTTTTAAATAAAAGAAAGACGTTAAAAATGTGCTAAGGTGCTCTTTCATTTACTGAAAGTACTGTATTGCAGAATATGTTATACCTGTAAGTTTATCTCGAACTCTGTTAACAACTTGGACAGCTTTTTCATTCATTGCTTCAGGCTGACTAAATCCAGAATCTAAAAATTTATAACACATTTAAGACACAGTATAACACATAAATGTACCTGATTATATGCATTTTGAAGAAATTTAGATTTTAGATTAGATAAACACAATATTTTTTGTGAGGAAGGAAAAGTACTACAAAGTGTATCTACAATAATTTATTATACAGTCAAAAGTCGTTAATCCGGACTCGTTGGGACTTCGGCGATTCTGGATTATCGATTTTTCTTGATTATAGATCATCAGTTTAAATCTGGTAAGATGGCATGCATAAATTATAAAATTAAAAATATGAAACCGTAATTTATGAAATAAAGAACAATTATGATCTAAAGGGTATCAAAATTTACAAAAAAAAAAAAAAAAAAAAAAAAAAAAAAGCTTAATATTTATTTGTTTACTTTATTAAACATTTCTTTCAATGTAAGTTGTTTTGTTTTATGTGATAATACTTTCTCTTTAATTCTATGAACAGACATAACTTCTTGTTCAGTTACAAAGTTCCGCTGTTCAAGTCCTATAATTGCTGTGTCGAGAATACCGACTAATTTGTCAATCGAAATTTTTTCGTTTTCAATAACCTCTGTGTCACTTTCTTCACTATCGGAAGTGAATTATAATGACGAGGAATTTGGTTTAAATCATATCAAAGACGTGGTACATCAAGATGAAATACTACATTTAGTAAGGAATTATAAGCCAAATAAAATAAAAACATCTGCCCTGAAGATAAGGATAGTGCTGACAGATCAACTTCCAATTTATTGCGCGCCGCGAGCATCAAGCAACAACATCGAGCACCTTACAGGTGACAGTGCATTTTAACTCAGTTCTCCACCCCCAATTTTGATGGAGAGCACTCCGGGGAAACAGGTCCAAGGCTCTCCCACCCCTCTTCCCCTACTACCAACCTGGGGAGTGAACTCTTGGCTCATCACATATTCAGAGTGCCCCCAATGCAACACAGACACTATACATTTACAAACATTCATGCTTTCTCCGGGATTTGAACCCAGGCCCTTCGGTACAGCAATTAGCGACACTAACCACTATACTAGTTGAGGAGCAGAACAATTATTTTTTTAACTGTTTGAGTCCTGGGGGTATTGAAAAAACACTGTCGAAGAATCCCAAACAGTGCAAGTGCACTTTCTCTAAATGAGTATGAAAAGACCCAAACAGCGCAATAGCACGGTTTATTTTATAGCGAGAAATATCAATATCACGTGGCGCGATAGCATTTTGTTTATTTTACATCGATGAATCCCAATCGGAGCAATAGCGCTTCTTGTATTTGTTGGGTAACACAATTCTCATCGCTCCATCACATCTTTGCAGTTTGCAAAGCGATCGGACATATTCTTGCATAAGTGTTTCTCATTTTGTCCACAGTGTTTGAAATGTATTGGGTTTTCTCAATATAAAATCTCAACAGTGCAATCGTGCTGCTTGCGATTCAAACAGTTTTTAAAAAAAAAAGGCATTTCATAAATTGATACTGCTAGCCCATCTAACACGGCACCTCATGCAATCTCCTCATCACAAATGTTCCATTTACTTGTCGGTGAGTCTTCAGAGGATAAGTGAGAGATGTAACATACAAGTAATATATACTGTAGTAGTACACTTTATACCTTGTAGTAATCCAAGGTATGTAACGTATAATAAAGTAATTCTTTACTTAGTTATAGTGCACAGTTATTTAAAATTTATCATTTATTTGTGTTTGTATTTTCAGTTGTTTCTAATAGTATTTATAGCTTTTATTTCACAAACATCATTAGGAGGTATGCCTAGTAAGATCTTATTCTCTTCGCTATCGTAAGGTAAAATGATCTTACTAGGAAACCTGACGACCTCTCACACAGGCATGAACAATGCTAGCACAGAAGAAAGGTTAAATAAAATCTTACAATAACACTGGAGGCTTTCGGTGAAACTTCAGAATAATTTAACCATAAATTCAAAGATAAATAGTAGGGCTAAATGAACAATTTAGTTAGAGGGAACTAGGCTGACTCAACAACCTACCTGGTGATATTAAATACCCAAAAGCGAGGAATGAGAGGTTTAGAAAAGATACCAAACTTAAAATAATTTGTCATGCAATCTAAGGTAAACCCTACAAGTGAACCTAAAAATGCTTTGAACCAATTCATGGAACAAATGGTCATTTTGAAAGTAACTCATTTGTAAAGTGAGTAGCATCTATACAGTACAAAATACGATGAAATATGACAAAATTTTAAGTAGTCAGGTTAAATGCTGCTGAATTATGTAATAAAATTAAAAAGAGAAGTACTCGTGTTGTAAAAAGAGGCAATGAACGATCCCCATCACAACTGCATAGCTGCCAACCCTCCCAATAAAACCCAAAGAGTTGGCAGCTATGATTTTACTAGAAAACTCCTGGTTTTTTGCTACAGTGCCCAGTCTCCTGGCAGATCACAGAATTTACTGGTTTTACGTTTTTAGCCTTTCCTAGAGAAAGTGTTTTTCAGCAATATATGAAATTTGAGTTATATTGAAACATAAATTGTTCAAATTCCATTCTCCCACCCCTAATGATTTCCAGCAGAATTTTTATTGAATTTTACTTGATCTGAACTGTCTTTATCTACTGTAGACATTTATTAATATCAAATATTTATCAAAAATAAAATAAATAACTAAGTTCAGCAAACGAATGAGAGTTACTCCTGTTCATTTACCAATACAAGACTTTTTATTGAAATTCAAGTTAATCAAAATTTTAAAAAAATATTATTATTGGAATTTAATTAAAACTTCAGTATCAACAGAAACTTTAAACAAAGAAAATTTACTAGACATAAAATAGTAATATATGCTTTAATTTTAAATGTGAAATTTATTTGTATATTTTATCATTATTGTATAAAAGTTGATTTTTAAATAACATACATTTTATTGCCATTAATTTGTCTTTTTGTTACTACATCAAATATTTTATGCTTAGAATATAAATTTCTAATAATAATTTTAATGAATATAAATTTCATAACCATCAATTTCAATCTTTTCATCATATTCGCACAACATCAAGTATTAAAAACATGGGAAAAGAGAGAGAAAACAATTTTTTTAACTGTTCAGTATTACATTTAAGATTTACAAAAACATTACCATTTATGGACGCATCTGCTGTTTTTGTTTCAACTTGTGATTGCACATCCACTTCTTCTAACATATCTAAGAAAGATTTTTTAAAACTTAATTATCTGTGGAGACTAAAATCTGAAACAGAAAGTGCAAATTATTCTTAAATGAATAAACCAATTTTTAGAATTATAATTAAATTACGGCTTATAAATTGCTGATTTTTTTAAATAAATTCATGTAGAATGTTTGTATTTTTCATAACTTAAAACACTTTTTTTTCAAGGCTAATTTTTTCTTTTTTCTTTTTGACATAAATAGTAAGGGATACTTATATTGACCTGATCTCATGTGTCCACATGATCAAGTACCTTCTAAAGCTCTCCACGGTCAATTGCAGTCTGTTTGGATCATTAAGTGGGATTGCCTAAAGAGGGATCATTTCTGCAAGAAACTGATGTGAATTTAGGGTGCACATGAGAAAAACCAATTTGAGTGCTCATGCCATATGACAAAAATAAAACTTGAGGTAACTTAGCAATGCCTTATAGTTTTAACTATTTAGCTGTCGACTGGCCCACTAAATGAAAAATCATACCTTTCAGTGTGAAGACTCGATGAATATTGGAATATTTTCAGCCTGTTCTGAATGCTTTTGGTTTTGATGTTGTTATCTCATCTGTGAATTTCATGAAAGAATGGTTGCTACAGCCTCAAGGAGGTTGGACTTCAACTTCTAGTCAAATTTTGAGAAAGACCATCCCAGGGGATGGTCCGAGGGTCTGCCACCTCTCTCCCCCTACCATCAATCCAAATGAGAGGACTTTTGGCTGGCCATACATTTGGAGTGTCCCCATGCCGCAAAGACACTATACATTTACAAACATCCATGCCTTCTCTAGGATTCGAACCGGGCCATTCGGTACCACAGTAGGCTCCTCTAACCACTGGGTCTAACGTCTGGGTGGCATGTTATTGACATCTAACACATATTAATGAAAGAGAAATTTTGGTATTTGATTTTTATTTGCTATGGGTATTATTATTGTTTATGTTTTCACTGAATTAAAGTTATGTTTTACCCTTCTTCCTTGAATTTCTAAGTATAATTATTTTAAGGTTTAAATAGTTTTCCGTATTTTTCTTTATTTGATTTGCTACTGGAACATTAAAGCTGCCAGTAGCATATAAGAAGATTACCGATGTTGAACTACTATTCAGTGAACTGAACCACTTAGCCACTGGCAAGGTGATCAGATGAGGAAATCCAGATATTTGAAAAGAGAATTTTGCAGCCTGCTATTATTGTCATTTCAGAATTCAAATCTCTGTTCAGTCTTTCTGTCTTACTACTAAGCTTTCATTATTTTTAAATCAAATTCAATGTTAGTCATCACTTCATTCCATCGAATGCAAATAAATTTTTAAATAAAAGTATAATAGTGTATTTCCACTCCTGATGACTTAGTTATTTTCTTTGAAATATTTTTCTTGTGAAACAATAAAAGATTTTAACAGCAGGATTCAAACTGAATGATTGCTGCACTTGTACATTAAAATGAAATTTGTAAAAGATTGTGGAACTTTGATATACATGTTAATTCAAACTTCAGTCTTGGTTGTCTTGCTTATGTCTGTCTTCCTAAATATGCTCATTTTAAGATCCTTAATAATTATGCAAAATTTGGGTGAAAATTTATTTAAGTACATGTGCTCTCCTTAATCTGAATTACTTAATTTAAAAAAAGGGCAAGGAAATAATGCAAATACAGTTATTTAATAATTACCACAAACATTCTTTTGAAAAGCATAAGAACAGATTCAAAGTATCTAAATATATTTGAAGCACTATTCTTATTATTTTCAATTTACTTCTCTTTCAGAGTTTAATTCCATTAAATTGATCATGAAATCCTTTTAAAGAGTTTGAACATTTAAAGGAAAACAGTAATAAAGAGAAGTACATTGAATACAAAAATTAAACTTAAAAGTTTGCAGAATTTTTAAACATTAAAAATTCTTATTTTCTTGAAATGAATTCATAATCCATTTATGTCACTGTATTTTAAAAATAAACTAAACTTATGAAATAATTTATTTATAATCTGGTTTATCAGTACAAAACTAAGGAATTTTTTTCTGAATAATGGCAAGTAAATATTAATGTAGCAGAAAAACAAACAAACAAAAAAATTGAAGGAGGGGTCATGCTTAATCAAATATTAAAAATTTTTAAGCAGTACAGCATTTTCAGTTTATTTCAAACATCTAATATAAATCTGAAGAAGAAGGGGAGGAAAACATCTCACTTACCACCTTGATCATGAATAGATGATGCTGATTCACTCCGATTTTTTGAATGCTTACCTTTTGGTTGAGCTAAAATTAGAAAATATTGAATATACATATTAAATGCTATTTTGAGGTTAGTTCCATTACATTTACTTATATCATCAAAATTTCTTGTCCCTTGAAAGAGAAATTTCAGGACTTTATTGCATTGAGTAGATAATTAATATTTTATAACTGACAAATTTCTACAGTACAGTTAAAGCATTTTTTTCGATACAATGTATTAATTATATTAATACAATGATATTAAATTTATTAAAGATTTAACTAAACTGTTATTTCTAAAAGTATCACAAACACAATTAAGTAAAGTCTATTTCATGAAGATATTAAATACATAAAACACAATAATTTTTACATTAATATTTAATTCATTAAAAAAATGGAATTTTGCATACTATATATACAATTAACACAATTTAAAAGGACACAAAAATTTATTACTTAAAGCAAGAAATATTCATTTCTAGAAATTCCATAAAAATCTTCACCTAAAAAATAAATAAATAAATAAATAAAATTAAAAAATGTTTCTTACCATCGATAAGTCTCCAGTTTAGAAGAGGATCATATACAAATGCTTCTAAAACAGCCATAAGGCTGTCTTTATTTTCACGCAAGACTTTCATTACTTTCTGACAAGTTTTCCTGTATGTTCCTTCTATGCCAGTAACCTAAAAAGCAAGTTATGGAAGTATTAAAACAAAAAATAGCACTTCTTTCTCTCAGCAAAATTTTGAAATTTTGCTCAGTAAACCATATAAATTATAACTAATCACATTTCTGTATGTTTTAGGAATCGCTGAAAATTTCTCAAGTACCTCCATCGCATGAATTAGCATCCTAGTGAGTCGAAAAGGAATCTTTTCTGGGAATTTCTCTCTGGTCATAGCAACTTCAAAACAATCCCCAAAGTCAATATGCAGTATTTTTCCACTTAATCGGTCCAACATTAAATTAGATGGATGTCTAAAATATATTTTTATTCACATTAAAATAAATATTAATGAGGGATTAACATATCAAACTAGCAACCATCTGCAACATGCCCAAAGAAACAAATTATTAAAAAACATAACATTTCATCTACAACAGAAGTACATTGTATAAAAGTCATATATAACACAAGTAATAAGTATATAACACAAGTAACTTACTTTATTATATTATCATATATACAAACAGAAAAGAGGGGGAAATAAAATTTGAATTATCATTTTATAGAAAAAATAAATGAAGAAATCTAACGTAAGAATAATACATTGCCAAATACACATACCTATCTCCTAAACCTAACACATATCCAACCATAGACATCACAGCAAGAGAACGTGTATAATTTGTTCGCCGATCAAACCATACCTGTTAAAAAACATTACCTATAAATTTAAGCATACAAATTTTACTGCTATTAGTATAAGCTCCTACCATTAACCCTTTGCGACGCGCTATACGTTAACGTCGGAATTTCAACAAAAAAGTCGTATGCAGTCTATTTAGTCCTAAAGGGGAGTATACAGGGAAAATTTTGTAAAAATTGCACTTACCATTTTAATTCTGTGGGTGTTCCATGAGGTGGAACACTGCGCCGCTAGAGCTTTTAAAAGAGCGACTAAGCGAGCATTGCAGTGAAGCATGAAAATGAGTAGAAGCGTTTGTATAGGAATGAAAAAACTCTGTATTATGGCTGTATACATGGTTTCCTGGATATACACAATATTCTTGAATATATACGGATAAATGAGATAAATATCTATATACACAAGTCCTATATAAAAAAATATTTACAAATTTTCGGAAAGAGTTAGACCTCTCCGCGCCATTTATGGAAAATTAATAATAAAAAAAATTAACTGCGATTAATATTAAAAATAAAAAAAACAAGCCTATAATATATACAGACATGAAAAATATCTACACAATTATTGAAAATAAATGGGAATGAGACTAAAATGCGACAGCAAAAAATTCACGCTAAGTAAAGATGTGTCAAGCTACTAATAAAATTCCCGCCCAAAAAATTTGAGATGCCAATATTAGGGCTTTCATAACACAAAACACACCTCACCCCTCAATACTGCTTTGTTTGAATTCATCCCCCCCCAAAGCAACGTAAACAGCGGATGTTCTCTCCTAAGCACAGATGTTCTGATTCGTAACAACATGAGATCGCTAATGGTGCGGTGTTCCCGCTAATGGAACACCCAGGTTATTCAATCATTCTGCATATGGTTTTTGTCTGAAAGATTAAAAAAAAATATAGAACAGATAATTTGGAGTACAGCCAGCAAAATTATGCCTAATTTTTTTTCCAAATAAAATTTTTTATATCACTAAAAAAAATAGAGTGAATAAATTTGAAAATTCACTTGAAAAAAAGTGAATTTTTAATAACACATAATAAATGAAAATTCTGTGTCTCTTTGTGATATGCTGCTATCTACTGTTTAAAAAGAAAAGTTCAAAGTATATTATAAAGGCATTTTTATCTATTTACGGTTGAATTTAAAGGTTTCAGAAGTGATTCAATTTGGGTGGATTCAATTAGTAGAACACTGAGCCACAAAGGGTTAAAAGAAGCAGTCAATATTCACAAAAAGATACATATAACTGAACTGAAAATAGTTTTGAAAGTAATACTATTGAGTTATTTAAGGTGATGATTAATGATGATTTGAGAAGCATATAACAAGGAAAGACAAAGTTATGCTTAAATATATAATAACTTTTACCATTTGTTGTTAGCAAAATGGAGTGCACTGATATAAAATACTTCTATTTATTGAAATTTTAAAAATGATTATATAAGCATAATTTAAATCATATGAGAACAATAATAATTACATGTAAAACATACTGTCATTGAATTATACAATAATATAACATATTTGATGTTTGTCTATAAATAATTGTCCTACTGTATCCTATTATCAGACCTGTTGTATTAAATGGTAGTGAATGTTGGCCATTAACAAAAACAGATGAAGAAAGACTTCTAATTTTTGAAAGAAAAATACTGCAAAAAAATATATAGCCCAATTACAGATAATAGATGGAGAATTTTGTTTAACCATGAAATATATAGAAGATACAAACAACCTAATATTGTCCAAGTCCTCAAATCTTATTGTATCGGGCAGCTTGGATATATTTTTAGATGTGACAGCTTGAACCCTGTTAAAAAGGTGATCTTTACAAATGTAGAGGGTACCAGGAAAAAAGGAAGACCTTGCAAAAGATGGATAATCTCAGGACTTTAAAAATCAATCGCTGGTGGACCATAGCGACTAATTGAATCCGTTGGAGGAAGCTTGTTGAGACGGCCTTGACATGCGATAGGCTGTAATGCAACTAAAGAAGAAAGATAAAAAGATAACATCAATAACATATTTTACAAAGTCCATTCTTGCACGGATAAAAGGAAAAAAAAAAAAAAAATGAATGGTTGAATGAATGAGGAAAGCCCTCTACAAAAAGGATAATGAATGGATGGATGCCACTGTCACCACCAATGTCAACAAGTTCTTGGTTACCATTTGCACCAGATTTAAAATCAACATAGCCAAGAAAGTCAACAGTCTCCCAAAATTAGTCTATCTTACATTCACTGTTCTGGAGCTGCAAATGAATTTGATGGAACGTAAGACAATCTTTTCTTGGTTCTTCTTTAGAAGTAGCATATTGGTTGAGAAGTTGACTATTTAGGTTCCATGTCAGATAATGTATTCAAAATGAGCAAAAATATTGTTAATTTCCTCATAAACCATGTTATCAAAATTACGTAGACTGTTTAAGGAATTCGAATGACTTAAATGTTTGCTATGTAGTACACCTAAGTGATCAGTGAGAGTTTATATGCACATGCAATGCATGTTAAATGCAACATGTGCATATAAGAGCATCAGTGAGAGTTTATATGCACAGAAACATGTAAGATGATCAGCATGAATCAATTCTTCAATAGCATTAATCAAATCAAACAGATAGCTATTGAGCTTTCTCTTTGGCTGGTTCTCTCTCAAATTCTTGTTTGTTATAACACTGCTAGAGGGCAAAAGAGACAAATCAAGAATCTGTTTTTCTGGATTTCTTAAGGTGCTCTATGCAGTGGTACTAAGCATTTTCAGTACCTGAATTCATAAAACTGTGGAAAGTATTCAGTCAATAAGAACAGAATTTTGTGGCAGATGATGAGTATGGGAATGGATTTCAGCAAAAAAATAGTTACAGTTAGCGTCACTCGAGGGCATTTTACTTTTAAAAACCTGCAGTAAAAATGTAAATTTTTGTTAATATCAAGCAGCAGCTGTTATAAAAACTAGAACATTCTCAGGGATTTTATTTTCAATGTGCCTGCTGCTCTCAATGATAATATGTTTATGATCTTATTGCAGTTTGTTAATAAAATTATTTTACTACAGCATTAATTCTGCAGTAGCTGCTCTACAGAAATTTTGGACTTTGAAGAGGATTCGAAGAGGTCCTATGAATGCTAAAACCTTTGGAAAATGAAAACAAAATTTGAAGAAACAGGATCGGGTAATGACAGTAAAATGAGAAAGGCTTCTTATACACCATATTATTATTAAATCAAGTCAAAACAGATTTCATTACTTGTGATTGGATTTCTTTAGTCAAAAGAAAATAAAGACAAATTTAAAAGCAAATTGAATACTGAAACAAACAGAATTTATTAATTATTGAATTGTTTAAATATTCTTTAAACTTTCTCCAAAAGTGGAGAAGATGTTATTAATTAGTAAACCTTATAAAAGAAGGAAGGCAAATTTTCTAAATAATTTTGAGTTCACAACAAATGTAGATCAATATCAATAGCAACAGATTTTGTATGAACAATCCTTATGTTTTTTATAACAGTAAATGTTTCTAAAACAAAATGCATTCAATTCAGTGAAAGTGTCATTATCTCAATATCTACAATACAGGTTTTTATTTGAAAATGCAGATCTACTTTAAGATTTTTTTAATATACATTACATTAAAAGCAAATACAAAGGAATTATAAGAAGTGCATTGGGGGGGGGGGAAGTAACCATAGGAGTTATCCATAGGAGTTCTTAAAATGCAAGAATAACTGTAAAATTTGTGACTAAACATATAGCCAATGGATGCAAAACAATTCCTAAAGCAAAAATAATGGGATGAAGTAAAAGCCAGTTTTGTATCCCTCGTACTTTAGAGAGAGATCAGAAATCATATTACAAAGCTTTATTTAAAAGTTTCATGGTGCATTTCAATACATATATTCTTATTCAATAAAGGCCTGTTTGATTAGTATTAGCAGCTAAGAAAATTTCTCAAAAAACATCTTGCTTTAAAATTATGAATTAAATATTTACTAGTGAAATTTTTATGCTATGAAAAATAAGAGTGAGTTATAAAATGATAAATTATTGATTCCATATTCTGATATTTTGTTTTAATTAAAATGCTTTTCCAACGTAAGCTCACTTTACATATGGAAAGTTTTGAAATTCATAAAAAATTGAAGTTAAAAACTTAAGATCTTATTAATGCTTCTCTTTATTCTTTACCACACCTCAGATGTCATGTGAAGAACAGAAGAAATAGCCAGAGAATTCAGTTAATGTCTGAAATTCTGAATTTTTTTCCGGTAACAGCAAAACTATAAGCTATTATTGGATATTCAGTGTTTATATTCATTTCATAATACAAATCAATACTCCTGCATTACATACAACTTTTGAAAATAATTATGTCATACAAATATATCAAATTGTAAAAATATACAAATGACTTACTTCTGAATTTGGACTTTTTAACCACAAAAGTTTAGCTAAATCATCTCCATTTGTGTTCTTTAGAGCATGTTCAAATACCTCAACTTTTTGCATTAATGTCAAATGATCATAATCAGGTGCCATCTAAAATTTTATTAAACACTTGTTGAGTTATAAGTTAATCAACACGTAGTAAATTATTCTTAAGATTCTATAAGATACTCATGCATTAATACATAAAAAAGAAAAATAATCTTTAACAGGGACAGTCAAAAGCAAAACTAAAATATCTTGTGAAAAGATAATGAAATTGACCAAATAAAAATGACAATTTATAAAGAATGAAATCAGCACAGGGAAGAAATTCTGAAATTAATCTGTTGAAGACAAACTGTAAATACACAATTGATTTTAATAATTTTTGCTAGTTAGTATATATTTCTGAAAAATTCATAAACAAAATATGTATTGTATTTTGAGATTAACTTCAGCACTTAACAGTCACATTTACAGAGTCCTTATGTAAAATCACACTTCTATTTATACATCCTCTTCAGTTCTACTTTAAAATAAATACATAAATAATAAACATTAAAAATAAAAATCAGTAAAAACTGCCCTCATATTATAGCTATTTGCTTCACATATTAATTTTCAAAGCAGAAAAATGTACATAATACAAACTTGTTTAATGACCTAAATTACAAATGATGGCTAGCTAGAAACATGTTCTTTTTTAACAATTCCCTTTGAAAATGCTTAAAATATTAATGTAATTATAAACAGATTTTAACAAACTTCAACTTACCCTCAACATTATACGATGCTCAATGTTCAATAAAATTTTCTTTTTTTCTCTATAGTCTCTGATTAAAGTGTGTAAAGTATCACAGTGAGGAACCCATCCAATAAGGCCACTATTGGTAGACAATGGAATAACTGAGTATCTCTGGATACTGAAAATAAACAAATAAAAATAATTATTTAAATTAAAACTTCTCAAGAGATAAAGTTATAACCACATAAGAAAACATAATCTCAGCTATTTTCAACTATCTGAGCCAGTATAACTAACAAAATTGTTCAAGCAATTGAACAGCTCAACATTTTAATCAAGTTCAGTATAATCTAGATCAGGGATTGCCAACGAGGGGCACCAAAGAAATTTGAAAGGGGGCGATGATGATCAAGGGGATGATAGTCAAATATGCAAAAACAGTTCGTCAGCATTATCAAGATCCCATGATTAAATATATATATTTATCAGTGTATTGTGTGACAGCATGGGTGTGTCACAACGATCAATTTAATCAGTGTGTCGTGTGACAGCATGGGTGAAACTGTGCCACTCACTAGGGTGCCTTCACATTCCGTACATGGCTATCATCTGTCCCCAAAACAAGCCAGGATTCATTATTAAACACTTCATTTTTCCAATCTATGGCATTCCATAGCACTCTGGCTTGGCACCACCATACATGAAGTCCTTGACGTTTCGGTGTTAAAGGCAGTACATAAAAAGGGCACTTGCATTACAGGTTCACTTCCACAAGGTGTCCAGAAAATGGTTTGTGGAACACCTGGCATCCCTACATTTAATTGTATCATGGAACGAGTCGCTGAAGGATCCATCAGCACTTGCCACATGGTCCTTTAATCCTTGCCTCATCATCATCATGGTCGTTGCACACCCGATTCTCCACATGTGGGTGCTATTTCATGTCCACTGCTGCCAACATTTCTAGCAGCACACTCCAAGTGACTGACTGACCTGTCGAGCAACACGTTGCATCGACTAGCTTACAGTTTTCATGCCAATGATCAGGCTCCTCTCAAACTCCCTTAATTGTGAGAAATGTCTTCACACATGTCTACCTGGCATTCTTACAAAATTTTTCCTAGAATTGGAACGTGATCGTCACTATACTTATTTGTGAAATTTTGCAATTGTACCTTTCTTCCTTCTTGGTGCATTATTTTTAGTATACCTGAATTTATATAAATTTTTTGTGCTATAAGTACAATATAAAGAAAGTAAGGAACAAGAACACAGGAAAACATCTCCACCCCCCCCCCACAAAAAATTAAGAATGCAAAACAAAAAACAGTTTGAAAATTTTTGAATAAGGGGAATTAAGATAGCAATTTTATGCCAACGATTTTAAAAATTTGCATCAATACATCAAACACAACCATCCCTTTGACAAAAATTGAACTTTTGTGCAATTAGAATCTGTGATTTTTGTTTCTGAAAACTGATTTATAATTGTAAAATTAATAATTATAGAAAAAATAAATATAAATATAACACATTATTTTTCCCAAGACTTTTATACATATTCTTAATCTGTTATTTTTACATTACTTATGTGTAATTATCTGTATTATGATTATGTATATATTATATGCCATATATGAGAGAGAAAAATGTAAGGGAGCCGATGAAAAAAAAAAAAAACATTCTTTCAAAAGAGGTCGACTTAAGAAAAGTGCTGAGAATCTCTGGTCCAGATACATAAAAGGAATAAGACTAACATATGGTTTTAAAAGCTTATCTAACAATCAGACAGAAAGCCAAATTATATAGAAATTATAAATGCATTTAAAAAAAAAAAAAAAAAAAAAAAAAAAAACAAGCTGCGAATTCGAAATTCGATTTTTAATATTAATTTATAACCTTGTCCGTTTATGCAACAATTGTTACATGCTTATCTGTACTGTAAAAATTACATAACCATATATATTCTTACTTTCCTTAATTAAAAGATTAACAGCAGAATTTTCAATTTTGATAAAATTTAAACCAGAAAAATTTTTAAATTTGCCCTCACAAAAAAAGCTATTATTGTATTTTTTACAATAAAAGTATTAACATATATACCGCCCATAAAGCTAAAAAATAAGTTTATTGAATTTAAGTCTTTAATTAATGTCCAATGGTGTAATTATTTATGTTAACTACCTTCAAATGGACTCAGAACTGTATTTAGAATATAATTTACACAAACTCAAGCTCTAGACTTTGCAAATTATTACCTTTAAATTTGAATTTTTATTTTAGTAAATTGTATATTTTAACTTGCAATTAATATTTGTGTGTCCAAATAAAGCTAACACAAGTATATTTCATTTAAATTTGTGTTTTTGTGGTATTTTTATTAATTTTTATATTGTTTCATAAAGCAACTATGTAGAGGAGGCATTCAAAATTTTCAGCTGAAAAATAATAATAAAATAATTTAAAGCAGTTCATCAACTAATTTTGGATGAATAGAAACGCCGTGGCTTTCCTAAGAAATGGAGTTCAACTGAAGTCTGATCTACCTCCTCTTGCCGATGTTCAACCAGAGTATTCCTTTTTTTATGTATTTCAATTGTTTTCAAAAACTTTTTCCAATTTAAAAATACATACATAAAAAAATTCATTTAAAAAACTAATGTTTTTATTAAAAATTTAGACACAGAACCAATTTTAATTTTTTCCTTCCAAAGTCTTGAAAGGTTAGTTTGAAATTTTTTACTTTTTACTTCCTTGTACAAACTAAAGGAAGAACTGTAATCACAAAAAATTCCAGGTACCATATTTCAATGAAAATATCCATTTGACCACTATCGAATGCAATTTAACGATGTTTTTGCATCGACGATGACATCTGTATGTAAGAACAAAATAAAGGACCTTTTTCCCCAAATGAATTACAAAACTGGCATGCAATCGAATGCAATTTAACAAGGTTTTTGTGTGAGATCTGTATGTAAGAATAGAATAAAGAACTCTTTTCCCAAAACAATTTAAAATGGATTCAGAAGAGTTTTTTTTTTTTTTTTTTTTTTTTTTTTTTTTTCCCCCATGGCATCTGTAAGTACGTACATTATGCAAGATAGTTATATGTACGTACATATATATCTTGCACAACTCAAAAACGAGTAGCCTCAGAACATTGAAATTTTGCATATAGAACTGCTATGACATGTAGTTCTGCACCTCCCTTTTTGCTTGCAATTGGCTTCACTAAAAGTATATATATATATATACACACACACACTGTTACTCGGCTCAGCGAGCTGTTTAATTATTCTTATATGTTGGAAATTTGAGCAATCTTTGCTTTATAAATGATTGAGTTACACTGTTCATATATTCTGGTTGAGGTTTTTATGCATTTGGTTACTCTGCATACAACATTTGTACAATTATGAACAATTTAAAACTTGTTTAAGTGTAGCTAAGCCTTTTTACTTCCTTGTACGAAGTAAAAAGGAAGTATTGTAGTCGCAAAAAGTTTCAGGCAGCATATTTCAACGAAAATATCCATTTTGACCGCTATCGAATGCAATTTAACAATGTATTTCTGTGATATCTGTACGTAAGGAAAGAATAAAACACTTTTTTCCTCCAAAAAAATTATAAAACTGCTTTAAAATGAAATCTGAAGAGAATTTTTCGTGGCATCTGTACGAACATATGTATGTATGTATCTCGCATAACTCAAAAACAAGTAGCCTCAGAACGTTGAAATTTTGTATATAGGACTGCTATAACATGTCGATGTGCACCTCGTATTTTGGTTGCAATCGGCCGCATCAAACATACATAAATATATTTATATATATATCCACTCTGTTACCCGGCTCAATGATGTCAGTTTCTTTACTCTTGTATGTTTGTAAATTGTACATTTTTTGCTTTAAAAATGATTGAATTATGTTGTTCTGATCTTCCGGTTAAGGTTTTCATGCCTTTAGTAAATCTGTATGCAATATTTTTAGAATTATCAACAATTTTAAAGTTGTTTAAGTGCCACTAAGCCTAATAATTTTTTTGATGGCGGCCATTGCTTGTTTATATTTGAAACAGCAGGATAGTGGATTTGTTGCCAATCTAGAGAAACTTAGCTTCGCAACAACAAAGATAACGCCTTCATTTATTATTGTGAATTAAATCATGTTCAATCCTTTATGGAATTTTTTCCAGGAAATAAGTGTTTCAGATTTGCTTCATAATTTTTAATACAGATATTTTGAGTTTTTATGTATTTTTGCCTTGTTGCAAAGTTAGAACTGAATTAATTGAATGAGAAATACTCAATCGCCTGTGAAAAACTGTTTCTTTTTTGTTTTGTTTGCTTAATTTCTTTTATACATCGTTCTAGATTTATTATAGTAGTTGAATAGAACATGTGGCAAGGATTAGATAATTCTTTAAATGATCTAAATTTTGTGCATTCTGAGTTATAATTTGAATGAAATAAAATACTGTTAAGTGAACCTAGCGCCAGAGTGTCACTATGGTAAATAAACAGAGTGAATTTTAAAGAATGCATTTATTCTATTGTGGTTTATGTGTTGCCGGCGAAGTAGATTTAATTCAATCCAATAAGTTTAAATGAAACGCAAGAAAAAATGCGTATAATTTAATATTCCGTACAAGGAAGTCATGTAGTGTACACATCAGATTTTTTTTAAACCATAGCAACCATATTTGTTTACATTTGAAACTTAGCAGGTTAATGAATTAATTATTTCTGCACCTTCAGTGTCTTTTTGCAGAGTGAGACCAAGAGGAAACTTTTAGTTTTATGCATTGACAAATCTGTCTTCTTGTCTGCTGTCTGAATTGCTTGTTATTGAGTAGAAGCTGTAAGTTTAATTGTAAAAACTGTTTTTTTAATTGTTTTAACTATATTTGGTGTTTTATGTTTTCCTACAGCTTTCAATTTTTAATGAAAATAGTATTTGGAGTTTTTATGTATTTTTGCCTTGCCGCAGAGTGAGAACTGAATTAATTGAATAAGAAATATATCTCTAATGAAATTCGAGGAAATAAGTTTAAATAAAATGCAAGAAAAAATATGTACAATTTAATATTCTGTGCATATATCTCTCATAAAATTTGAGGAAATAAGTTTAAATGAAGGTTAAAATGCATGTAATTTAATATCCCATACAAGAAATTCATTGTGTATACATTAGCTTCTTTAGTCTATAATATGTATATTAAATTATTAACCCTTTGACGAGCGGTGGTTGCGCCCTGAAACCACGAATTTTCGAATTTTTTTCTCCTCTTCTTTCCAAAATTTTTAAGTGAAAATAAATTGATTACTGATCTTTTACCTCTAAATAACACAAAATGACTGCAGATTTATGCATGTTTTAGGTCTTAGTACTTGAAATCGGATGTCTTTTAAAATTTGTTTTGAATGTAACAAAAAACTTCCTTTTATTAATAAAAACAACTTTAAATTTCAAAAGTTATTCATCACACACCATGATTTCTATCATAAACAATAAAAAATAGCAATAATTAAACTGCATATATGAAAAAAAACCTCTATATGTATGGCATTTGCTTTGTGGTTTCAGGGCGCGACCATTTCGCACTACAGCATTGTGTCACAATGCTCTAGAGCAGTGTTTCCCAACGTAGGGCACACACCCCACAGAGGGGCAATTAGATTAAGGGGGGCAATTCAAAAAATGGACTCTTCCAGAGTTTAAGGTGACAAGGGATGTTCAAATTTCCAAATTTTCTACAAGATGTCGAAATTTTTCAAAATTTCATTTTTTATTAAAAGAATAATGTAATTGATATATACGTAAGATATATAAAAAAGTAAAGAATAATGTAATTGATATATACGTAAAATGTTTTTAAATTGATGTGCATTTTAAATCTTGTATAAAGAATTTTTGCTGTAGATATTTAAATCCTTAGAAATTTCTTCCTAAAACTTCAAGTTTCTTTCGTGAACATTTCAATTTTTGTATATTAAAAATTATGCATTTGCTAAGGGGAGCAGAGGAATTTTAGAGAGGATTAGGTGGGGCAATAGCACAAAAAAGGTTGGGAAACACTGCTCTAGAGGCTCGGTGGTCGCGGCTTGAAACCACTGCTCTTCACAATGGCGTTTGCTTGCTTCTCAAATAGGAATGTTTATTTTTACCCGGATATACGAGGCGTATTCGGAAACTAAGTACCGTTTTGAAAAAAAAAATAGTAAAACAATTTTTTCGAATCCAATTTTATTTTTACATGAAAATACATGTCTAAACTATTTTCAAACATAGTTCCTCCGCCAATGATCAAACACTTGTCATAGCGGGTGACCAGTTTTTGTATACCCATCGTCAAAGAAACTTCCCGCCAGTTTCGATAACCACGACTCCACACTTTCGGTGAATGAGTGTGTCTCCACTCCATCGATTGTTGTTTCGATTCTGGTGTGAAATGACACACCCCAGTTTCATCACCTGTCACAATTTAGTTTAAAAAGTTTTCTCCCTCATCACTGTACCGCGTGAGAAATGTCAGGGCACTACCAAGTCGCTTTGTTTTGTGAACATCAGTGAGCATTTTTGGAACCCATCGGAAACACAGTTTGCGATAATTCGAGCGGTCAGACACAATTTCGAACAAAACAGTACGTGAAATTTGTGGAAATGCCTCTGAAAGAGTTGTCATTGTGAAGCGTCTGTTCTCATGAATTGCTTCATCAACTTTCCTTACCAAATCATCAGTGACAACAGAAGGCCGACAACTCCGAGCCTCGGCGTGGACATTTGTTCGACCTGCATTAAACATTCTTACCCACTTTCTCACCATTTCATCACTTATCGCGTATTCACCGTAAACCTGTGTCACTTGACGATAAATTTCGGCCGGTTTAACATTCCTCGCGTTCAAAAATTTAATCACGGCACGAATCTCACAGTCAGCGGGAGAACTAATTGTCTTAAACATTTTGAATGTGCACAGCAAACTGAAAACACAACATAGAGCAACCAAAATGGCGACAATTGAAAGTTGGTTGAACAGGAAAGACTAGTGCGCATGCGCGAGACGCCTACCACACGGCGCTGGCGACGGCGCTAGAATGAAACGGTTCTTAGTTTCCGAATACGCTACGTAGATAAGGGTTTTGAAACCACATAGTTATTTTATTACTAAACAATACATGCACCTGTCCCAGTGAAAAGGTCTGTCTTTTCCAGAGACTTTTCTCTGACCTCAACACACTTGCTCCCCAAGCTCGTGATTTTATAAATTATTTCATGTGGTTTAAATTTAATGTAAATATACTTTGCTATAATTAAAATGAAAAATCACATAAAGTTTTATTTAAATTAAAAGTATATTCTGAATATTTTGGGACAAAATACGAATAAAATAAGCATGAATTTGACACGAACGATCCGTACCAAAGCCAATAAAAACCAAGCCCCCTCTGCTCCATTAACATAAAAAACCACAAATTTCATGTGTCAGATCAAAAGAAACGAAATAACACTGGACAGTGAAATTTCGATCCAGGCAGTGTGCATTTTGTAGCACAAGGAAGAATCCTTATACAAGATACATGTGTGAAACGTGCAATGTGGGTCTATGCATGCACCAAAAAGGCAAAACATGCTTTGAACAGCGACACAGAAAAAAATTTGTTCTTTGAAATTAAAAAAAAAAACACTTAGTCTTTTTCTTATCCTTATTTTACCGAGTTTTTTTATTCATTTAGCCAAACATCCTTATCATGTATATTTTCACTGCTATAGAAAAATTACATAAATGTTTATTTTTTAATTTTTTCTGACAATTTAGTCTGCAAAATAATGTAAAAAAATTATATATAATGCAATTCTTCCATACATTTTTTTTTAATTCATAAATTTCGCCATTTATTCGAAACGCACACAGAGAAAAGTAAGTTTTTCCCCCCTACTGCCTCAGTAAGTTTCAAAGTCCTAGATGCATGGTGCGACCACCACCCACAGAACAATGGGCAAGAGTAGATTTTTTTTTTAATTCATATATTATTTGTCTTTAGGATCATAATATTCAATTTCTAGAGTTTTTGTTAAAAAAAATTATAAAAATAATATTGCGCACGTCAAAGTGAAATTAGGAATCTGAACTCTGCACATGTTTTATTATGAAAAAATATCAAACGCACAAACATAAAGGAAAAAGAAAAACGGTTGCTAAGGATCCAGGGGTTGGTATTTTTGATCATTCTGGATACTGTATTACTGATTCCGGATTTCATACTCTGTACTGTATTTTATTTTCCTTATATTCCTTTCTACTGTATTTTCCTATTAAGTGGTCTAAACTCCTTAAATCGTGGGAGATATTATTGTTAAGGATAGAAAACAGTAGTTTTGATGTTTTACATTTCTCTGATTTTCAGTTTAATTAAAATAAATAACTTTTAATTTCCCCTCTTTTTTCAGTCACATGTTTTAATTTTTTTTTTTTTTCATGTTATCTTTGCTTTTCTACCATTTTAGATAATTTTAGTTTCCTGTCTGTTTACAAATCTTTCTTATACCTGCACTTGATTAGATGCTTGCAACTTTTAGATTTTTCACATTTACTCACAATATGCACATAAACACCACTAATTTCCTTTTGAGTTCATATTTATTTGCCCAAAGGGGCAATCTGCTCAGAATTTAATTCCGTTTTGGCATTTTGCATTGGTTCACTGTAAATGGCATTTCACTTTTAAAATTGTTGCCACCAAATAATATCGCCCTGTATATATTTAAAGAAATTAAATAATGAAGAATCTGCATGAATGTATACATGTTTCTCGCACTGTGAAAAACAACGGTACCTAGAGACATCAAATTTTGAATAACATAGTCTTTCACTCAAATATGGGCATCTGGAAGACCAAATTTCGAATTTATTTTGTTATCTATTTCAAATTTTGTAAAACTTTAGTGAATGTTTGATAAACAAACTCAACGATTTCAAAGCGAGCAATGGCAACACTACGGAAAAAAAAAAAACATTTTATCTCCAGCGTGTGAGACTGTGTATCAGAAATTCTAAAGGTATGCTCTTTTAAATATTTTGCGATACTGCTGTTGAATCGAATTTTATGATTTAACAAAGAAAAACATGATATGATATAACAAAAGAACATGATATTTAATAAATAAAGCTAACACACAAAAATGTTAAAAAAATTCCCCTTTGGGCATAGTATAAAATCTGAAGGCTTTCAGTCTTTTCTTTCTTTTTTTCCCCCCCTCTCTTTTCCAAATGAGTTCAGGTTCATGTTGTATATGAGAATTTGGCCAGATACTACACTCATTCGTTCTTTATGTGATATCAAGTACAATTATTTTTCTTTCCTTTATTATTTAAGATCAAATGTCTAGTAATGTGGGTGTATGTATATATATGTATATAATATATATATATATATATATTAAATCTTTTATATGTTTACACATTTTTTTTAAACAATTTTTAAAATTTTTTTTGGCTTTAAATTTGCTTTTTTACTTTTATACGTGTTGTTTAAAATTTTAATTTAATTTGTTTAAATTTAAAATTTCATTCCTTGCAGCAATGGCACAAAGAATTATTTAATTAAATTTGTATTTAAATTTAATTAATTTATTTAAATTAAATTTATTTAATTAAATTCAATTTTTTCTTATGAAACAATTATATACGGAGAGTAATATATATGTATATAATACCTAAAATTCTATTTTTAAATCTACTTATTCTTTATATATATTAAATGAAAAAATTAGTTAAATAATTCAAGATTATAAGATGTGAATTTTTTTAAACTATTTGAAATATATTGAAACTTACGTAACATTTCTACGAGATGTCTCAGGATCTTTTATGAGCAATGTATTAACCAAACCAAATAACTGCATGACTCTTTCATCTTGTCTTAAATCCTCGTGTCCTTTCAACAAAAACATAAAATCTTTTCCATTGCTGCCTAAAGTTTAAAGAATTCATATTGCTATATTGCCATTAATATAAAATTTCAAGAGTTCTACTTGTAAAGCATACACAGAAGACTTTACATAAATAAGACACTGAAAAAAAATTTTATGAACCACAATCCTTAAAGCTTATTAATTAGTTCAAGCATTCAGTTAATTGTTGAATACACAAATAAATGAATCCCAATTTAACAAACTTCTAAATCTAATTTTTTCTCATATTTCTTACAAGCATTTTAAAATACAGTGGTACCTCAGCATACGAGTTTAATTCGTTCCGTAACCTCGCTCGTATGTCAAATTGCTCGTATTTCAAAGCAATTTTCCCCATTGAAATTAATTGGAATGCCATTAATCCGTTCCAGCTCCCAAAACACCACCTCAGTTGTTCTTGTTAAGTGTTTTTTATAAGAAAAATGTATTTACAAGAAGAAACGTTTATTTATAAATAACAAATACATATTCTATAAAAACATTATTAAAAGAAAAAGTGAAGTGCTTATGGGAAGCGCTTAATTTTTGTCACTGGTCTTTGCTTACTTTCTGCAGATCGTTTAAAAAAACTGTCCAAGGAGGTTTGTTTCTTCCTCCCTTTCAGGATATTGCGGAAATGAGTTAGATACGTTTCGTTGAACAACTCCAATGCACAACCAGTTGCAACTTTTTTGGGGTGATTTTTTATCCACAAACTCTACAACTTTCTTCCACATTCCCAAGATCTCCTTCCTCCTCTTCAAAACTAATTTTTCATTGAACCATCATATGCTGCTGTGAATGTAGATCGTGTTTTTCTATGATTTCACGCTTTAATTCGATAGACATCATTTTCTTTTTCGGCCCCATGTTATAAAAATACATGTGATAATGTTTTGTAAATGTACAAAAAGCAAAAAACCGCGAACCCAACTTATAAAAAATGCTTTGAAAACGAGGGAAACAAGCACACAGACTGAGGTCTAGTCTGAAGTGGGAGAAACTGTTAGATGCTGCACACGACACTAATATGAGTGTGCAGGTTGCGGTCGTGTGCAGCGGTGTAGTGCGATTCCTCGTTTCTCAGATCTTGCTCTCATCTCAAAGCAAAATATCGCTCGCTCAGCGGCTCATATCTCAAAACACTCGTATCTTAGGGCACTCGTATAGCGAGGTAACATTGTATTCTGATTTAATGTGAATATTATATCTCAAACTATCAGAAAGTTCCAAATTTTTGTAACTTTGAATTTTTTTTTAATAATTTTTCGTGAAAAAAATGAGACTATTTAATAGTCATTTTAATATTACAAAAAAGTTTTCTTCACATGCAAATAAAAATTATAATGTTTGTTTCAAAATTGCAGTGGAAGACTACTTTTTTATTCATCAACTATAGAAGTGAATTGCAGCTTTTGGCTCCCCTGGATGATATAGCAATTAGTGGAAGCAGAAGGATGTATGTTTGAACTCAAAGCTTAAATGTATGATTATATGCATTGTTTTCCGCTCCCTAGAAATATACTTTCCTTCAGGGCTTAATTTCTAAAATTAGAAGTGCCAGAGCCTTATGGAAGACCATCAGGAAAGAGGGACAAGAGTAAATAAATAAAAATTAAAATCGTTAATATTTTTTAATTAAATAGTTAATGATCATCAAAGTAATAAATACTTATTTAATAAACATTAACAATCAATGTTTATTAATTATTATACAATCATTAATGAATTAATTATTGATTATTATTTATTAAAATAATTAAATTAAGATGAAATAAAATGTAAAGAGGTAAATTAAAATTTAATAAATGATTTTTAATATAATTTTATTGCTGCTAAAAATAAAATTTTTGAGATCAAATTTCTACTAAAATTGTTGTTCCATAATTATATAAAAGAAGTGCCGAAGCCTTCTTATTTAGGGCTATGGTGCGCTCCGACTAGAATCATGATTTATCTCATAAACTGAGAAGTACCGGAGACAGGCTCCAGTGCAATTTAAGTTCTGCTTTCTTTCATATCTAATCAATACTGGAAAAATATATTATTTATACTGATTCATTTAGTGCACTGAAAGCATTAGAAACATTCTCTGATGCGAAGAATCTGGTGTTTTCTAATGTTAAATTTAAATTTAAGGTACAGTGGTTATCGTATTCTTTACTGCTGGGTGTCCAGACATATGGGCATTAAAGGAAATAAGTTGGCAGATATCACAGCAAAGTCTGCTGTTGAACTATCGAGCCGATTTATCCCTTTGAGAGATATCAACACCATGATCAAGAAGAGGATCCTGACTAAATGGCAGCAAATTTAGAACTCTCAAACAAATAATACATTGAGAGGGATAAAACAAATACTAGAGTTACAGGAAGCTAAGAGAAATCGAAAGGGGGAAGTTCTTTTAACTCATCTTAGAAATAGCCATTCCCATGCTATGCATAATTACCTTTTGAAAGCCGAGAATGAGCCTACTTATTCAAATTGTAATGGCCATTTATCAATGCATCACCTTTTACAAGATTGGATTGGATTGGATTGGATTGGATTGGATTGGATTGGATTATTCAGTTATGGCAAAGCACACGAGGGCTATCTGCCTAAAGGGAGGGATGGCTTCGTGGAGGACTTTCTAAGGGAAACTGGCTCGTATACACGTTACACATGGGGAAAACCACAAAAACACCCATTCAGCCAGCCTATTCTCAGGATTCGAACCTCAGACCGAACTACCAGTGTTCAGCGTCTTTACCACTCGGCCGTTGGTAGGCCTCCGTTTACAAGAATGTATATATTAAAAATTCTTCTTTTAATTGTTTTAACAGTATTTGGTGTTTTATGTTTCCCTATATCTTTCAATTTTTAATGAAGATATTTTGAGTTTTTATGTATTTTTGCCTTACCACAAAATCAGAACTGAATTAATTGAATGAGAAATGGATTTCTAATGAAATTTTAGGAAATAAGCGTTTCAGATTACGAGCAAATATTGCTGCCAGTCTCTATAAGACCGAGGAGAATGTTTATTGTGTAGCGCATGTACATTAGGTAAGTGGCACTGAATCGTCTATGAGAAATGTTTCTTTTTTATTTGTCTAATTTCTTTAATACATCATCTTATATTAATTATAATATTTGAATAGAACATATGGCAAAGATTAGATAATTCTTCAGATATATTTTTTGTGCATTCTGACTTATAAAATGAATGCGATGTAACACTGCTAAGTGAACCTAGCGCCAGAATGTTGCTATGGTAAATAAATATAGTGAATTTTAAAGAATGTATTTATTCAATTGTGGTTTATGCACTATCGACGAAGTAGATTTAATTCAGTTCAATGAGTATAAATGAAATGCACGAAAAAATGCATATAATTTAGTATTCCATGCAAGGAAGTTATGTGGTGTACACATCAAATTTTTTTAATTTTGATTAGCACTGAATCAGGTTTTATAAGTTTGTTCACAGTTCCTACAGAGATATTTAAAGATTTTTCAGTAGCTCTTTGGGGAAGGGCTGGATTTTCCTTTAAAACACGAATGCATTTTTTTTGTCTTTTTCCCCGTCAGACATAAACTTTCACGTTTCTTTCCTTTCATAGTAATTGTGCCCCTTATTTTACATGTAGAAATATTAAAACTATGCTTTTTGTGTTTTTTAATAAATGAATAAGAGTACCTTTCTTTAGACAGTGCAAAAATATGGCCTTTGATCCATTGTTTATTTTTCAGTGACATTTTAAAGAAAAGAATATTTTTAATGCTGCAGACGATAATTAAACCTTATTCCAATTTGGTGGAGGTCACATTTGCATTTTAAAATTAATATTTAAATTCAAGGACAAAATCAAAATCGTTACAAAAATGTGTAAATTGTTTACATGTATAAATAAATAACTATATAAATTGGCTATCATGTGCATTTTATAGAATTTGCATAGGTTCAAATATCCTAATCAACAGCTGAATGCTTTTGAAATGGTAGCTAAAAGGATGACAGTTGCATAATCATTGAAACGCACAAATTAATAAATTCTTTACGATAAATTTAAAAATGAAAAGATAAATTACCTTTGATGCTAAGTTTACGTGGTCTCTGTTTACTTGTTATCACTTGAAGTGAGCTTTCAACACGAGCTATTCTAACGATAGGTTTATTTGGATTATAAGTTCCTGGCACAGCCAATTCCAAATCACGACACATCAAAAGTTTTGGAGATACATATTGAAGCTCAAGAGAAGTTAACTGGAAAAAAAAAAAAAAAATTATTTAGTTTTCGAACAACAATGAATATGAATTAAAAAATTTTACAACATAACTAAATACATTTGCATTTGACATTACAAAAAGAAAGATCAAACAAATTACCTGAGGTAACTGCTTCGCCACTTTACGGAACACATGATAATAGGTATCCCAAGCCTGAGTTAAATCTTTAACATTTCCAGAACGTTGATATTTCTTGCACCATTCTTGTGCCTCTGATAACTCTCTGCCATATGCCTAAATAAGGTGATTTAATTAGAATCTTTCAATACATGAAGCATAACACAACAATGATTATTTATACAGAAATCATTATAAATGTTAAGATAAAAACTTAGCCTTATAAACATGTAGTAACACATTTATGTGATACAATTTAAGTTCTCAAAATGTATTTCATTTCCTGCTTTATTAGTGTTGCAAAAAAATATATATTTATATAAAAGATGTTTAAAAAAGATTGCAGGGTTAAATATATTTTGAACAGTTGGTCTTCACAGGCTCATGGTTTCAATTTAAGAAATGAATCAGATAAGGTAGGCTTTGACTATAATTTTCGCTCATAATGCCTTTTATACATTTTTTTTTAATTGAAGAGATAAATGCTACATTCCTCAAAAAAATACTTGCCATTTCTTACTTTTCATAACTGTTTCTTACTTTTCATAGCTATAAAATTCAATCAGCTCAGAGCTGACGAATTTTTACAGTTATGAAAAGTAAGGAATGGCAAGTATTATTTTCAGGAATGTAGCACTTATCTCTTCAGTTTAAAAAAAAAAAAAAAAAAAAAATTGTAAGCTGACGATCTTTTAGTTGTATAACCAACATTGTTAAAATGATTTTTCGGAATTTGATTTATTGGTTAATAAAAGCTTACCAGACTTTTACATTGACATTTCAGCAACAAAATCACCCTCAAAGTGTGTAATAAGAAAAGCCTGAATGAAAAGAAATATCCCAATATGCAGAAATATGCAGTACTCCTAAAGTCATCTATATTTACTAAATAATAATTTTGAATGGTTTAGTTTTCAGATGTTACTCAAAAAGCCCTAGATTATTTCCAGGAATAATATTAATTCAGTTGTGTGCACCAAAGCAAAGGATCTGCTCTGTGAGTCTTGATTATGTCCCTTTAACCAGAAATTGTTCAAATGACATGAACTCATTAATGAGTGTTACTCAAAAACAACTAGATTATTTTACAAGAATGAGGTTAATTTAGCTGTGTGCACCAAAATAAAGATCTGCTTTGTGAGTGGTTCTTGATTATGTCCCTTTAACCAGAAATTGTTCAAATGGCATGAATTCATTAATGGATATTATACTGCATATTTTTAATGCAAGCTACATTTAACCATGACCACCAAAGTAATGGTGCATTACCAAAAGTTTTAAGAACCAGTTAAAGGCCTAAGCAAGTATTAAAATTAATTATTGAGTGGTAATAAATTGTCTAAACAAAAATTCAGCTTTAAAACCCAATTTGCCAGCCTAAAATTACCCTATGAACTAGTTCAGTTAAATACCACCACAGGATGGACTGATTGCTACTCACAGTGCAGAAGACGGAGAATAGATTCGATGTGAAACGAATATAATTTTCAAACGCAAAAACTTCATATAGATATATGAAATATATATAGTTTCTTTCTTTCCCTTTTTTTATAAATTTAAATAATTTCACATAAAAATAAAAACTTGTTGTAAAGGTGGCATACAAATGATTATTCGGTATAAGGTATTAGAAATATTTTTCATTAACGTTAGAATTCATTTTCATTGGGTAAAGTATTAGTAATATTTTTCATTAAATACAATAATGAGGCAAATGCTTGTAAAAATTATCAATAATGCACAATATAAGTCAGCGGTTCTCAACCTTTTGACTAATGTGTACCATCTAAATAAACATTGAAAAACTTTAGTACCACCACTACATTTTACAATGATTATTTTTCAATAGAAATAGTAAAAAAAAAAAAAAAAAAAAAACTATTTTGCCATTTGCACAACCTGTTGGCTATTTGTATTAGATGTGCACACACGAAAAAATATTAGATTAAAAATTGGTTATTATTTTAATTATCAAAATTTAAGTTATACGACTTCAATTCTAAAATTCAATGTGAAATTTGAGCTTGTTTAGGAGAGATTAGTTTCTTTATGTCTGGTCTTATTTTACTTAACTTTAACTGTAAATTAGGATCCACTTTTAATTTTGCTCTGTATTCATTTTTCAAATAAAACATGGAACCAATTTTTGTTCATACAAATAGGTCGTGCAAAAACGCAATAAAAATTTAATAACTTTATTTGAAATGCCTTTAAATTCTTTATTTGAGGTTCACCTAAAAGAGTGTGTGTTACAAGTAGAAATCTTCAGTTAGAGTTCGATCACAGGAAATTTCTATCAGTTGTTCTTTTTCTTCATGAGATTTTCGAATTAAATAGGTAAAAGTACTTTCTTTCTTTGCGTACTGCCTATTTTTTGCTTGTGTACCACTGGTTGAGAATCGCTGATATAAATACAGGAATTAGAGGTATTATAAACCACATGATGTAAAGATATCATTAAAAAAAAAGAAAATAAATTGTTAAAGTATATAAATGGCTTTCAAATCACTCATTAGTTAAGCAATGCTCTGTTTTAATTTAAAATACATTTATTTATATTTCAAAATATTAAATAACAATGTTGTCAAGAGCACTGCTATTTAACGCTCATGCAATGTTAAACAAGAACATCAATAAGAATTGGAAATTTTCTACACAGCATGGATCATAAATTAAAAACCTTGTGTCTTGCAAAAAGGCAAAACTTTACAGAAGAGACATGATAAATGAAATTAAGCATGATGAAATAACAGTCAAAAATGAAAAGACTTTAATATAGCCATTTCTAATGTCAAAACAAGTTTGTAATGTGAAAAACTAGTCCTAAAAAAATTGAAAAAAATTATATGACTTATACAATTTTCCCCTCATAAAAAGCAAAATAATTTATTTTAGAAGTCAGGTAAAATTGAATTTTGTTAAATAAAAGTTTCAAAACCTTAAGATTTCCATAAATCTAACTTAAAATCTATGCTATTACTACTATTCTGATGTAGAATATATCTTCCAAAAATCTGTTTTTGAAAAATTAAACGGACGAACGTAACGAAGTTTAGTAATATTTGTAAATAGGTCTTAAAATTGTTATAACAATGGCAGTTTTAATAGTTTAACGATTTTTTTATCTAATTAATTTGGATATGGAATAAAATATCTTAATCGATCTCATTTTACTTATTTTTAATCTATGATCATAAGTCTAAACCCCATTTTTCAAGAGATATTTAGTTATGCAAATTTTTTAACATCTTCTTTATTTATCAAAATACTTCAATAATACTATTCAACTGTTTATTAAATGATCTGGAATATTAGACAGTATAGTAGTTAGGGGAGCCTGACTGTGATCACGAAGGGCCCGGGTTCGAATCCCGGAGAAGGCATGGATGTAAAATTGTCTATCCCTTCATAGAAGGAAACGGTGGTCGCCTATTAGGTGCCTCCACAATAAAATGGCATGACCAATGTCATTACAGGCAAAAAAAAATTGGAAAAAAAATATTAAAATATTTTATAAATAACATAAAAACAATTTCACAAATGCTGGGTTAGATTTTAACAGAATAGGAACAAGAGTATCAGTGCTACAAATAATGCAAAGAAGCACTATATGATTAACCACGTTAAAAATGTTTGGAGAATTGTTATAAAAGATTTTTTTTCATATAAATTATTTTAGATAAAATTTCTTAAACTACTAAATTCCCTTAATATTATAGAATTGTAAATAACCAGGCAATGAGATCACAGCTCATTCATCTGCTTGAAATATCTAGATAACTTGATTGCATAATTATTTAGACCAAATATTACGTATTTATTGCTAGTATTGCTAAGTATTTTTATAATGTAATGTAGGCCAAGAAATATTTTTAAATCATTTACATATTTCCTTCCAAAAGAAATTATACAGTTGTGAAAATAGAATATTTATTATTTAATTAAACATTTTACCCATTTTACTTTAAATAAATAAAAACAAATTAATTTTTATTTATATGATATATAAAACTAATTGCTTAGTTCTGTTTTTATTTTTACTGCTAAAATCAATCAAAGTTATTTTTTATCTGCATAAAATAAATTGTAAACTTATTTCTATTAAACTAAAATTAAATACAGTAGAACCCCTATAATCCAAGCTAATGTGGGGCAGGGATAACTCATATAACACAGATTGACACACACACACACACAAAAAAAAAAGTCTATTGCTATAATCTTATTGTACATACTATAGGCAATTTACTAACAATACCTGACTGATTCATGCTGGTACATAGCGATATAAAACATGTACATTCAGATGTACAGATATACATGTAGTACTAAATATGACATGTACTATAAATTTGAAAACACATAATTCAGAAGTCAAACAACAAATTTGCGGTTTTGCAGCTGAAGATGATGGTTCGGTAAAACCATCGAAACTAGTCCTGTGAAAAATTTTTGTAGGTATAACGCTGATTTTTGTTGTTTGACTTCTGAATTAGTATTTGCGGTTTTGCAGCTGAAGATGATGGTTCGGTAAAACCATCGAAACTAGTCCTGTGAAAAATTTTTGTAGGTATAACGCTGATTTTTGTTGTTTGACTTCTGATGTTTGACTTTTGATGAAAACACATCCTGTAATACAAATGAGGTGCTATACACTATACATATTTTAAAAAAATCAATAACGACTTTCTGTTTTATTGTGCTGCTATATTGCATAGAATAGAATTTTCTTGCTGCTAATGCTAATAAATTCTATGCTGAATATCACATAGAATTTTCTTGCTGCTGTATTGCATAGAAACTCAAGGCGCACAAGAATTGAGGCTGCTGAGCTCAAATGTGGTAATGGTGCGATTACAATCTTGACAGTTTGAATTATTGCTAAATTCCAAGTCTACAGATTGTTGACCATTTGAGAGAGGCTATTTTAATGACTTTTTAATTATTGGATTGAGCTTAGATTATATGGAACCTTGGTTAATCAAAACCTGGATAGCTGGGATTCTAATATACGTGTAACTTTCATTAATATGTATAAAATAATAATAATAACAATACAATATATTTAAAATTATTTATTAATCAAGCAAATAATTTTCATTTTAGTAATTACTCATTTTTTTGTATTCTTAATATGCAATAAAGTAATGACTTTAAAAGTTTTATTTAAATCAACAAAAGACATTTAGAAATGATCTAGAAAGAAAAAGTGATACAAATAACTGAAATTCTGGATATCTAAAGTCTGAACATATGCGAGTTTTCTGTATTTTATTTCACTATTTGATATCGATTTATGTATGTTATTTCAATATTTGACATCGATTTCTGTATTTTATTTCGATACTTGACATTTATTTCTGTATTTTATTTTAATACAATAATTTATTAATGAAATTTATTTGCAAATACTTAATTATGCAACTAAATTTTAGTTATAATTGGCTTGCAGTAACCATTAATCCATTAATCGACATCTAGCCTATAATGTCTGAAAACTAACATGATTAACTAAGGATTTTTTTTCTTTTTAATTAACTTAAATTGCTAATTTAAAAATTTAATTTGCTTAAACTACTTGCTAAATATTTTAGTTAAAAAAATTAAAATACAAACAATCATCAATAACAAATTTACAGAAAAAGGTGCAGTTCCTTACAATAGTACAACAATCCTACCTGTGTAAAGGAAGTTTCTTTTAAAGTTTGGGGACCTCTTTCTATTAATGCGTGAAGAGGTTCAAGTGCAGCAAACATTCCTTTAACGTTTCTTTCTCCAAAGTATAGTCGAGATGCTTCTTCTAAGCCTTCATGCCATAACTCATGCCACAGTATGGCAACTCTTATCAGTTCTTCACTTATCTAAAAACAAATGGTACTGAGTTTATTTGCAGGTCAATATTTTTCAAACTCCTTTCCTTTTGCTTAAAAGTATACAGCAAAACATAAATAAATTTTAATTTTAAATTTCAGCAATAATAAAAGAGTAAATATGCAAGACACTTCTCAAAATCTTGCCGAGAATTTTCACGATCATGCGATCAGATATGCGATCTTCTACAGCTCCCCAGATTTGAACTCCCTAGACTTCTACATCAGGGATTTCACTGAGAGAGAGACCAACAAGAAACTCACATTACCAAGAACTCATTGAAGGCTGCCAGACAATATGGCACACATGAAGAAGGAGCAGTTGATCTTGCCATGCAATCGTTTTCAAAGTGGCATCATCAAAGCTGAAGCCGACTTGATTGAATAAGATTTTACTACACAAATGTAAAAACAAGTATCAAATTCTGCGGCAATACAGTTAGTTTTCTATTAAGAATATTTGTATTCTTCAAACCATTATTTAGTTCTCATATGCCTCATGCACAATGAATATAGAGTGTGCATATTAAATATAGAATTTCAATTGTCAACAGCTGACATTTTGATAAAATTTTAAAATTTTGCAAAATCATCAAAATAAAACTACATGGTAAAATACAACTACATTTATGTATTTTCAGTTTCCTGTTCACATCTATTTAGCAGCTATTTAAAAAAATATATTGGGTGTTTCTAACTGCTTCTGTAGTTATTACAACATCTATAATTTAAAAAGAACTCGGGAACAAACCAATAATTTTTACTACCACTGAAAATGTTGGCTTTATGTACAAATATTTATAATGATGTACATGATGTAATGATGTAGTTACAATTTTATGTACAAATATTTATAATGATGTACAATTTAAACATCTAGTTTAAAATTAAAAAATTCCAAAATTTCTTTTTAAAGCAAGGTTTCTCAAACTATGGTACAGGTATCATCAATGATGCATTACATTATTTTTTGTTGTACAATTTTTACACAAAAGATTTAAAGGAATACTCAAAATAAATGTAAAATGGTGCCCCTTTTGATACATGATGATGCATATATAAGTCCAAAACATTTTGTTATAACAAAAATAATTAATTTTTTTTTAAAATATTTGTTTATTAGAAAATGTTTTTGGGTATACTCCTAGTAGACGATCTACTTTATTTAACTGTGTAGTTACTTTTATGGATCAATAGGTGACGCCACTAAATTATTTTTTACACATTTTTTTCTTCAGCCCTTTTATTCCAATTTACATGATCAGATTTATTATTATTTTAATATTAATAATTTTCTACATTTTGCCAAATATTTATTTCTTTTGCTGTGTTTCATTCTGTGTATAAGAAAACTTTCACTGTGAAAATAAAAGAGTGAAATATTTTTTTAAAAAATTAGATTAGCTGGTTTAAATATTTGAATGAATTATTCGATATTAATATAAATAAAAATGAGCCCCTAAATGTTATGGATATAAATCAGGTCAAGAATTCCGTGCATATAGTGAATGAAACAGATAAGAGGTAAGACAAAATACAACCAATTTTGTACTGCTATATTTAGTTGTTTCAAAAACCTATTTACAAACAATTTGTTGTAAGCAGAGTATTAAAAAAAAAAAGAGAGATAATGAATTTAAGAGACATACAATTAAACATGGTCGCCGCTTAAGATGACAGTTATTTCATTTGTTTCTTATTTCAACTCTTTGTAAGGTAAAAGTGAAAAAATAGTCTTATTTCAGAGTAAATTGATAACAAAGATTCGAAGACAGCATTTTAAAAACTCTTCATAAATTCAATAGAAAAACTGCATATGAAAGAACAGATACACATAAACATTGCTAAACAAAAACAGAACTATAAAACAAAATACTAGTATTACAAATGCTATTACAGTTTTATTTAAAATAATTTTAAAAAATATACCATTGCATAGAATACATTCTTAAACCTCTTAAACCTATCTTCAACCCTTTAATGTCTATGCCAGAAAAGGTTTTGAAATTATAATTTTGCGAACTTAAAAACACCTCAGGTAAGTACGTTATGCCAAGCAAAGTGAATTTAAGGTTGTTTTTTCAAACTGTATTCACTTTTTTAATATCAAAATTAGAAATTTTACCAATTTGGCTTGCTCAACCAGTCTTCCACTATGTCTCATCATGCTATCAAGAACTTTATTGGCAGCAATGTTTCGTGATGGCACAGTTGATTTAGCTGCTACAGTTAATGGATAAATTAAAGCTTGTGGATGATGCTTTCCAATGTCCATTAGGAGTTGGTGAATCACCTCACCAACTGGTTGTCTAGGAGTATCAATTCTGGCAATAAGTTGAGGAATAACCTACAAATTCAAAATTTATTATTTTAATTGATCATCATAATTATTAAGTTCTTTTCCTGTATAATATAAGTAGAAAATTACATGGTAACTTACTTTTACATACTGTATTCTCTCATGTATAAGCCACAGATTTTTTTGCAAAAATGCAGAAGAAAATCGGAGGTGTGGCTTATACATGCAAATAATCAAAAAGAGGTACATACAAAGATGTGGCAACACAGCTGCATATATTTAACAATGGCATATAAAATCCATTGTTATTGGGTGATGGTTGCGCTTTCAGATCCATTGTTATGATTGCAGGTCAGTTGAAAGAAAATGTCAATCAAACAATTAAGCAATGATGCACATTTTAAACATCCAGCTATCCGATTCTCTGAGATGAGTGAGAACAGAGCTGCAACACTTCATTTGGATTTGAATGAATCCGACATGCAACAATAGAAAAAGCAGCAGAATGATGTTTAAAGAACAAGTGGGAAGAGGAAGGTGTTCTGTGGAGAAGCAGATAAGTATCCACAGTTAGATAATGTTTTATCGTATGTGAATGAGAAAAGAAGTTTCAATTATGTTTTAACTGTTGATATAAGACACTTCTAAGCTCATAAACAAACTGGTCAGATTGATATAAGTCATGATTTTCAAGCAAATGGAAGATGGTACGCATGTTTTATGCACACCTTCAGGAACCAGAAATGGTTTGTCACTACATTGTAGCATAATAGATGCATGTCTTCAGGCAGACTTCGATAACAAAATTTTGAAATTTCATAGGTACATTATTAAGTTAATACATAGACATTGAGATCGGTAATGCAGATCCAACACCCATTTATTATGCCTATGTCTCGTACAGTTGCATCAAGAGCCTCATGCACAGTAAAACATTACCACTGTAGATGGTGAGAAGCAGTGATGTACAGCTATGTTGGTTCTTCTGCTTGATGGAAATAAACTGTACAAAACACATTGCCAGGTATTGTGAATGCTCGAGTGCTCCTCACATGACTTGTCAAATGAAGGGAAAATTAAATATGTTAGAAACTGACCTAGTTGTGGTCCCTGGAGGCCTAACTTCCCTGTTCCAGCCCCCTGATATTACTACTAATCACTCCTTTAAAAGTTCATTCTGGAGACTTCATAATGATTTGATGAGTAAAGGAAATCATGACATTACACCAAAAGGTAAAATCAAATGTCAAGCTTGTATGTGAGTGAATTCTGGCAGCATGAAAAGTGTCAAGCCTGAAACAGTCATTAAAGGATTTTAAAATATGGTACTGATTTTACTTATGATCATTCCTTTAAAAGTTCATTCTGGACACTATAATGACTTGCTGAGTACAGGAAATCATGACATTACACCAAAAGGAAAAATCAAATGTCCAAGTGTACATCTTTTATGTGAATGGATTCTGGCTGCATGAGAAAGTGATAAGCTTGAAACATTAAAGGATTTTAAAATATGGAATACCCAATGTTCTAGATGGCTCTGAAGATAATGTGCTGTGGGATATTGGCACCAGTGATAGCAATACTATTAGTGCAGGAAAATACTCTAGTGGTGGTGTTGTTTTTGCTTATGCTCAGTTCTCTGATGTAGTCAGCCCTAGTCCATGAAATTCATCATGGCAAAGAGCGCTAGTGTACCCTGCCATTGGCAACAGCCTTGAACACCATTCAGGTGACTGTGTGATTTAGCTCAGTTCCACCTCCAATTTTGATGAAGAGCATCCGGGAAGGGGGGAGGCAGTCTAAGGGTCTCACACCCCTCTCCCCTTCCATCAAACCCCACGAGAGGACTTTCGGTTTGCCTCATATTTAGAGTGCCGCCATGCCACACCGACACTATAGATGTTACAGATATCCATGCCTACTCCGGGATTCGAACCTGCGCCCTTTGGTATGGCAGTCAGTGATGCTAACCACTATACCGGTTGGGTGGCAGTACTCTAGTGGTACTGACAATGACAGTGAATAAGAGGTGCCAAGCACAGAAACATGGTCCTTTTGACTGATAATAAAAACTGTCTCAATGTCTGGCAAGTATTTTCTTCATTTTATCATTTTAGCTGCTTTCACACTTCCAAAATGAAAAAAAAAATATTGTAGATTGCAGACAGGCTATCTATGGTTTATCCTCAAGTTTTTTTTTTTTTTTTTTCTTTTCTTTTTTTCTAAATTGGAGCTAAAAATAAACATAATGCTTATACATGTAAGAATACACTATGTACTGGTCAGAAAAAAAGGTCAATTTACTACTTTATCATGTCATTGAAATCTAAAAATTAATGGTATCATACTAGTCAGTTGCAGCAGAAAATATACTATTAGCACAAGATCTGCAACTAGCTGAATTAGATGATCGATTATTCAAACAATAGATAAAGATTTACAGTTCTGATGATACTTAATATAGCAATTTTAAATTCAGCTAAATTATAGGTTTCCAGTTTTGGGTGAATGTGTGCAGCAATTTCATACTTCTTGGCTCATGCATGGATCTCCTTATATAAGGAAATGTATTTTCTTCTGATTATAACTATCAATTGCTTTAAAGGAAATAAATTAAAACTTGAAGAAGATATTGTAATAGTTACAATAATATAAGAGACTTTTTAATCAAGCGAAGAATAAGTCAGTTATTTGAATATACAGAGCCATAAAAGCTATGCACCTAAGTAAAGAATAAGAGAGTAGTAGTTTGAAGTACATACCCATTACTTCATTTTGAAAGATTTGACATAAGTTGTTAATGCAGCATGTTACTGATATGTATGTCTTTTCTATTGCTATGATAGCCATAATCTATTCTAAAAATAGCAAAAGTCAAATTATATTCCTGTCATGATAGTAAATGAAGAAAATAATCAGTAAACTTCTGTTAGTTAAACCCCTCTTCACGAGGAACAAATTCACGACTTATATTTCACAATGCCAGCATCAGAAAAAATTGTCTGTAAACAAATCTTTCTTGGCATTATCCATTGGCATGGTTTTGAAACTTGAAAAGTTAATGCACAGAAAATATTCTGAAATAGTTGTGTAATTAAGTGCATTACATATTTTAAAATGCTACTCATAGCCCAATGTTTCAAACTGTGTTTGAAAAATTAAACTATTGTTTATTTCTAAGCGTATTCCATTTAATAGGCCAAAGAAGTACAGTTTTGCCATGACTAATCTATAGAATAATAAATATTTTGTGACATGGTGCATTTAAAAAGAAAAAAATAGGCAAAATTTAGAATTACCTGAAGCCAAGTCTCAATGGAAACAGTCTTCAGTCCTTCAGTGACTGCTTTGTTTACTTCAGGTGTATGGCCATAATCAAACCACAAAGTCAAAACTCTTTAAAAAAGAACAAAAATATACAGTTGGGTTACATTTATATTTTACAAATTTCAGTACCTATGTTAGTAATAAAATATTCAGTGATCCAGGCACTGTCTGGAAAATGTATTTTCAAGGAAGGGTCTGAAATATTACAATTAACTGCTTAAGAAACTCTAACTCTGCTCATTTTAGCGTTGCACACACATATGAAAAAATATACAAAAGATAGTCAATAACTTCTTTTTTTTTTATATACTAGACTTTCTACTGTAAATACAAATCCTCATGGGAATAAATATTAATTATGTTAATAATAAATTCAACTTAAAGTATATAATTCACCATAAAAATCCAATTTGATCAAGGTATTTTTAGACCAGTTTTTTAATAATAATAACTGAGCTCATTGAGCCAAGCAACACAGTGAATATACAGTACGAGGTCCGTAATCCGGACTCGTCGGAATTCGGCGATTCCGGATTAGGGGTTTTTCCGAATTATAGATCATCAATTTAAATCTGGTAAGATGGCATGCAGAAATTATAAAATTAAAATTATGAAACTGTAATTTATGAAATAAAGAGCAATTATGTTCAAAGGGTATCAAAATTTACAAAAAAAAAAAAAAAAAAGAAAAAAAAAAGAAAAAAAAAAAACAAAAAAAAAAAAAAAAAAAAAAAAAAAAAAAAAAAAAAAAAAAAAAAAAAAAAGAAAAGAAAAAAAGAAAAGAAAAAAGAAGAAAAAGAAAAAGCTTAATATTTATTTGTTTACTTTATTAAACATTTCTTTCAATGTAAGTTATTTAAGTTGCTTCGTTTTTTGTGTTAATACTTTCTCTTTAATTCTATAAACAGACACAATTTCTTGTTCAGTTACAAAGTTCCGCTGTTCAAGTAATTGCTGTGTCGAGAATACTGACTAACTTGTCAATTGAAATTTTTTCGTTTTCTTCAATAACCTTTCTGTCTTTTTGACATAATCAAAAGTTCAAGCTTAATTTTTATAAAATTGCTCTAACAGTCTGCAAAAAATAATAAGGCGGATCCAATTAGAAGATTAAGGAACAGCGCAATCTGCAACATTAACTGAAATACCTTAGACTCAGTAAAGATAATTTTAGCCTAGCTTATACCATCCATTGTACATTAAACACGCACGCGTAAACACATTACACGCATGCGTAAAGCATAAAAAAAAGTTTGTGGCTTTGAGGTCCGGATTATAGATCATTCCGAAAAATGTACATCCGGATTACGGACTTCATACTGTAACGTTCGGATTACAGACTTTGTACTGTATATATTTATATACATTTGGTGCAACCAAAATGGGAGGTGCGCGTCTACATGTTTTCACGATTACAATAATTTTGAAGTAAAAATGATTCAGTTTAAAGTGCATATAAGCATGACCCATCTCCCAAGCGCTTTCTTCAGTGATACATGGGTGGGACATCTAGCTGTGGGAGACTTTTGTAGAGAATGCATATATGGGACGCCCGTCCAAAAAAGGTAAAGGAAATTATTTCATATTTGTTTTCATTTTTTATGAACAGAAGCGCCAATAGCTTTATTACCTTTTTATGATTGCTATCACCTCAGCAATAAGACTTTTTTTTCATCATTTGAACTCCTGCAGCTGAAGAAGACGGTTCTATACGTAAAACTTCGAAACTAGTCCTGCAAATTTATGAATATTACAATGATTGTTACTTTAATGCCTCTAATAATCATTATTCAGCATGTTATTTTAACTCAGATCGGAAGTTTGTTTCTTTGAATATTAGAGGCTGATAAGAAAGCCCAAATTGAAAGTTTGCATAATGGTTCTTCATGCCAGCAAAAATAAATGATGATCTATAAATGTTGCAGTTATCCTTGAAGACCTTGATTAGCATGATGACTAATTGTCCCTATGTTCTAAAAGTGATTTCAGCTACTTGAGATCATTTATTGGCCATTTCTTATTCAATAATAGTAAGATACATTTGAAACAGCAAAATAATACTTAAGCTAGTTTTTTTTTCCCAAAATAAAACATAGAATATCTAAAGCATTATAAATCTATACATCATTTAAAATTCACTAAAATATTTAAATCCATCTTCTTAGACACTGTCTTGCTTTTTGAGTATAATAATGAATTCATAAAAATAGTTCAGTAAATTAAGAAATTCAGCCATTAATGAAACCAATTTGTACTTCAAAACACAATGTAATTATATATATATATATATATATATATATTTTACCTTAAAGTATCCTGCAAAGAGCTGCCGTGGGAAAGTGCAATAGACTGAAAAAATCCCCGCACAGCTGGAACTGCATACAAGCGCACATACTCTGATGACTACAAAAAAGACAACAATTTTGCATCAAAGAAAAAAAAAATTAACATAAATATTTTAACAAAAAATATCTAATTAATTACCTTATCAAATAAATAGACAGACAAGCATTTAATTATAACTTCTTGGTGGATTTTAGATAGGAAACTAAACATCATAATCATATTACACATGAAAAAAACTTGATACCACTCCACAGATTGAACTTAAACAAGCAATATATACAATATATGCAAGCAACTATATACAGACAATGTCCCACAAAATGTTATCATTACCATTTTCAAATGAAAGCAAAAGCAAATTTTGTTTTAACAATTTGTTATTCATTTTCTACTGAAGGCAAAAATCATATAGAATATCTTACTATAAACAGACAAAGGTTTTTCTTGTAGTAATTCCAAAAATAAAAAATGAGTTTATTTATTTATTTTTTTTATGCAAAGTAAATTTCAAGATTTTGTTATTTATATTCACATAAAATGTTATTTATAAGGGAAATAAAAACATACATTCAAAACATTACAGTCTACATCAGTTATCACACGAATTTTAAGAATATCTCTAATTTAAATTCCAAAATATCCTCAAATATATATACATATATAAATGTATAATTTAATTTTAATTTTACAAACAAATTTTGTTTACCAAAGCCTAAAAATTAACATTATTTAGAGCTTACTTATTCAAAATTGTACATTCTGACAGACATCAGATAACATGAAAAAACATTAAATATAAAAAATATGTCTAATCATTCATAAATTGCTAATTATGAAATACTTGAAATTATCATAAAATCTATCAAATTTAATTTCATTTAGTAATAAAACATTTGGTTTAATTATTTTGGGTACTTTGTGGTTACCAGCTGCCCTGGTTTTATTATTTTAGTAGAAATGCAATATTTTTGGTATAATTTTGATTATTTGCAGAGCAACAGCAAACCCTTGCGTGTATGTACCATACATGTGTTTGAGTAACATAGATTCACAAGCTTTAAATCTAATCATCACTTCAGTGAACAGTTTTTTTTTTTTTTTAATCCACCAACTGGATAAATGTCAAATGTAGAGACTTTTGTTTATTCTAAAAAAACTTATTGTTTTTTTAAATGCATTTTTTAAGAAAAACTTTATGAACAAAACATTGCACATGAGTAATAAAGACAACCACAGTTAAAAGTGCAATTGGTGACTTTTCATGGGGGTGTGGATAATCAAGAAATATGTTTTTCCCCTCAAAAACAGACAATATTTAAACATTTATTCATATTTATTTTTATAACTACTTAACTAACTAATTTAATTTTTGTTTCCTATGTAAGTAAGGATTTTGCTGAATGTTTAATTTATCTGTTCACTAAAAAAAGGGGGGGGGACACTCTGTGTCACTTTTTGGTAAATCTTTCATTTCAAAACTGTTGTAAATTTGGACTGCAAAATGCTCAGGTACATCTTTTTAGTGTTAAACAATTCAATGAGAAATATTAATTCCTTCATATTAAAGAGGAAAAAAAAGACACTGAAGAAGAGAAAAAGCATTATAAAATGAAACAGTTTTTAAACTAATTTAATATTATAAAAAATATAATTCCTGCATTTAAACTACTAATATTTGAAATAAGTGATAACGTAAATACAGAATAAATAGTTAATAGGTATATTTAATTAAGCAGACATCTTGCTCTAAAATTAAATGTTCAATTACACTCTTAAAAATTAACATTTGAAACAACACATCTCTAGAATCTTCTGAAAAATGATACAGACTAAAGTATTTCTTTTGTATTATATTTATAAAATGAGATTTAAAAGATTAAAAACAGATATTTCTGCACATAAGCAAAAATACAATATTAATACAACTGAAAAATAATATGCAGCCCCCATAAATTTTAAAAATATTTCTCACAGAAAAATTTTATTGATATGTAACACCAATCAAGTATTCTACTAGTATAGAATATAAAAATGTAGATTTTAGACCTTCAAAAAAAAAAGAAATAATTAAAAAAATATCACAAACTTTCTTTTTAATATGTATAACTAACTTACTGAAATAATTTTAATGGAACCAAGACTAAATGTATCCTTTTGCTTGGGGGTTGAGGATTCAGAACCTTCAGAGGAAACCTGATTTTCAAGCAAATGCTTTTGCTGTTCTTTATGTTTATAAAATAAAGCAGCTTCATAATTCATGTAAGCCCATGCATGAGCAACCTGTTTGTAAATAAACTATGTATAAAGATTTAGAAAATTCCATACATTTTACAACACAAAAAAAAACATAACTCCACTTAAGAATATACATATATATAACAGACACATTTTAGAATGTACAGCACCAATTATGGCCTTTTTCACATTAATCAGTTAAAGACTTAACATAATTTTGAATAATATTAATCAGATAAAGACTTAACATATAAGTAAACATAATTTTAAAAGAAATGCACATACATGACAAATAAATATATTAAAAAAATAAAAAGAATACAATTAAATCAATATTTAATTTCATTGTCCATGAGAATGAAATATTGATTTATTTTTGATTTTTTTTTAATTCAAAAACATTTTTATACAAATTGCAGAAATTATGGACCCAATTTCAATGGGTTTTTTTTTTTTAATTTATCTTCCCTATAGGCACCTTCATACATATTTCACTTCAAAAGTTTTCCCTTTCTTATTTACATTGATGGCAAAGGTATTTAGAAACTACGAATTTGCTTTGAAACACAGGAATGCTTCTACTTAACTAACATTGCACTTATCAAATCAAATATGCATTTACAAAACAAGACTACTTTTCTTCTACTAAAAAGTAAAGCAGTAATTTCTTTATTCCACCCTTGACAGTTGCGATACCCAGGCAGTGCTGTCAGACTGTGCTGAAAATTTTTGATCTGATGCTGAAGATGATAATATAACTTGATGCTTTATTTTTATTTATTTATTTTATGAAGATGCAATCACAGTATTGCAATATCTGCCATTTTCCTATTTTTATTGAAAGGAACAAATAAGGTGAAGATTCAGACATCAACAATTTTTCACTTTCCATTTAAATTCAAAAGATGTTTACTAACTTTCTTAGAATTCCAACTATGCAAATGTAAGCATTCACTTTATTATTTTAGTTTTCTTTGGAAACTGAGAATGCTGTTAATTAGTAGTTAAGACTACATTCAACACATTAGATTAGTATTTGAATAAAAATTTGATAACATGCCACATTTACTACAGTTAATTACTTTATAAAATAATCTTAAAATTAAAAAATAATAATTAAAAGTAATCTATATTATTTTTATTATGTTTTCAAATGTATCTACTAGTAAAGAATAAAATAATAAGAGTAATATAAAATGCAAAAAGAATAGTTATGAATGATTATATTAGAAGTCTACTCTTATTTAAATAATAGTCTTAACTATGACAGGTTTTTATATAGGAGCTTCAAAATTATTTCAAAAGTAAACTTATAAGGTAGATTATTGATTTTGGTTAAAATTAAGTCCAGTAGTAATATTATTCATTACTCAAGTTTTCTTAGATAGCTAAACAATTTTGCTAAACATTAATAAAATAATTAAACAATCTTGAATTGTAAGTTCTGTTGAACATTAAAAAACAAAGCAAGACATCTTTCTTATGGTTATGAATGGAAATATTAATATCCCTAAGCTAAGAGTTTTTACAAAATTTAAAATTTACAAAATTCAATTTATATATATAATATTTCAAAGTAAAAAAAATGTATTAAAGAAAGAACACTTATTTTTCTAAGCATATATTTTTTTTACAATTTATTCAAAACAAACAATCATAGGTTTCCAACATTTTTCAACAAAGATTTAGATAGATAGGTTTTGCATGCTTTACAGTAATTGATTACCTTCTTATCAAAATAGATTTACCAACTCTAACCCCCCCCCTACATTTTCAATGCAATGGACATAATATTTAGATCCTGTATGCCTTGCACAAAAAACAAAAATGGGACTTATATATTAAATTTATTGCATTGTTCTAACATAAGTATTTTAACACAAAATCGGACTTTCTCCGAAATGACATGCAGTTCACCCCCCCCCCAATATTTCAATTCTAAAACTCAAATTATGCCAAAATGTCATGTTTTGTAAAAATCGAACAAGTAGTTTTTAAAAAATTAGCTCTCAAAATTTTAGCTTTACCATGTTAATTGTATTTGGTATATATTTATTAACATCTCTTTTTTTATTTAACTTATCTGAATCTTCTTTTTACATTTCAAAATTTAGGTTCATTCCAAATAAAATTATTTTCTGATTTATTTTTTAAATTTGTATTTTTAAATAATTTTTATAAATTTTTCGAAACACATTTTGAATTATAATCTATAAAATTAAAGTAGATATATTTCATCATCTTAAAGTAGATATATTTCTAAGCATACCTGTAAAAAATTAGAGTTTTTTATTCAAAGTTTTAAACGATATACGTAAATTTATAAACTGGCACATTTTGAAATTTGGCATATTTATTGTAAGAGATAAATAAGTGAAATATACTTTACACACTTTGTTAAATTTATTTGAGAGAATGAACCATCTTTTCCCCCCCCCCTCTGCTCATTCACAAAGAATAAAGGGAAAGGAAAATATGTTGCTACAAATTATGAAGTTCACCAAGTAAATTATTCTTGGTGCAAATTGAAAAAAAACTGCAGCAAAATAAAATTTTTAATTTCTCAATAAATTTCTCAGCAAAAATGACAAAATTTAATATCTAAGCATAATTTGAGTCGTAGAATCAAAACATGGAAAAATATTGGTATATTATTTCAGAAAAAGTCTGATTTTGTGTCAAAATACCTATGTTAGAACAATGCTATATATCTTAAGTTGCGCTTTCGAGTTAAGCATGGAAAATGCAAGTTAAATTTTGACAATCAGTCCAGTAGAAAGGGAGATATAGAACTCCCCCCTTTTTAATGCAAGGTGTACACTACACGTAAGTCATCTATAAGTCAAATTTTATTCACTTCAATAATTTGTGAGGGGAAACAAAAACAACCTATAGATTAACATGAAATATTAGAGTAGCACCAAAATAAATGCAAAATTATAATAAAAACGGAAACATGAAAATTTTTTGGTTAGTCTATATTTTAGGGTACCCCTTGGATTATTTGTAAAAAAAGTGTTTAGTTACCTTATACCAGTTTTTATCTTTTTCCATAGCTTGTGAATAAAACTGTAAAATCTGAGGTATTGACATTTCATTGATACCATGCAGATTCTCTTGCCATTCTCCAAGTTTAAGATAAGATCTAAAGTCATATAAAAGATAAGTGAATATTCGTAAATACGTAAGGAAAAGACAAAATTAATACATTAAATATGGCATCAAATGTAATGCACTTATAAGTTAATACATTTTATTTAATGATAAATACTTTTATTTTATTTTTATCAACAAAAATGTAATGCATTCTTTTCAATATTAATAAAAATACATTAACATAACTTGAATAATTTTCCTTAACTTTCCTTTTCCCTTATGTAATTTTCTCGCCTAACTTATCCACACAACAGAAGTTACGAAACAACTTATTTCAAAAGTGAACAGCAAACAACACATTATTTTTCCTCAAAGTTTTTGACTTTTGCTTTAAGTTTCCCTCAATATCAGCATTCATTAATAAAACTACTCTAAGAAGCTTTTGCCTTTGGTTTACTTAAAATAAAATAAATAATAAAAAAAATTAACTGCATGGAATCTTTTATAGATAGAATAGAAAACATATATTATGTTTTTTATTCTGCAGTTTCCTTCAGAAAGCTCCCCAAAAGGCACTCAACATCCATCCTCAAAACAGACAGACTTTATATGCTTCCACTTACAGTCAGTTGATTATTATCTATATATACATAGTTCTTATGCCTAGTAACTTTTATGTGATTCTGAACACATACACCTTTTCATCTCATATGGGAAAAAAAAAAAAAAAAAAAAAAAAAAAAAAACTAAATGTAGATGGTCCCAGAGGCCCTGAACAACTTTATGCTATAGTTGTGGGCAACCTAAAAGAGGTAGTGCTTTATTACTCATGCATCAAATCTTTTTTCTTAACAATTTCTTATAGTTTAATATACACATAGTGTGAGGATTTGGGAATCTCTTGAAGAACTGTCAACCAGGGGTCATTTTTTCAGCAGGATGGCATGCCATCCCAGACAGCATTGTGTGTTCATAGTTTTCTCAACAGAACATTTCTTAATAATTAAATTAGAAGGCATGGACCCATTCCATAACCATTTGCTTCACATACTGGAAAATTCTGTATTTTAATGTATAGATAGCAGCTGATTACTATCTGCGCACAGTTTGTAGTACTTTTTATGTGATTTTGAAATAAATACAGCTTTTCTATTCATATGAAAAAAAAAAAATTATAATTCTTAGATAAAATAGCTTGAAAGATTAACTGTAACCATTAGAATATGCTAATATTATGGGTTAACTCAGAATTAAATTCTGAAATAAGTTTAATAGAAGATAAAAAATCCTCAATCACTTGGACGAGTATGTGCATATATCAGAAGAAATTTCAATACAAAATGTCAAAATCATAAAATGTGCACTTTTTGATGTTTTCATTTAAATGTATTTTTTATGTCCAAAAATTACCAAAAATTAAAAATAAATAAATAAATACAAATAAAAAATAAAGAAAAAAAAAATAAAAAAAGAGAAAAGAAAAAAGAAAGAAACCACTCATCCCTATTTATTAATCAGTTAAACTCATTTAAAGTATTACTTCAAAGTGAAATATTGTTTGCCAGTTTTCTGCTGCGGTAATTATAATTAAAATCATTCTACCAATCAATCAATTTTTTTAACATTAATTTCATTTTGGTATAAATTACTTGATTAATCTCGTCTTTCTTGTTAAAAAAATCAATCAAATAATTCCCCTTTTCCCATTTTTTACAATCATTCTATTTCTTTCATACAATACTCAAGAAAAATTTGTTCTTGTGGATATTCTTAAGCTAGTTATCCTTATTTCTTTCCTTTTCCTTTGCTCTGATCAGAATAGTATTTTATTATTTAGCTATAGGGCTAAAATTCAGCTTTTACTTTTAAATAATTGTATTTTTATTTACAACTCAATTCCTTCCCAATTTGCAACATTAATGTATAGTTCATTTTTAATTCATTATCCTTTTATCCTATTTTTATTGACATTTGATTATTTTTTAATGTTAAATCTACATTAAGAGAGGGAGTATATTTCTTGCTTATGCTCATTCAACTTTCATTTTCTTTCTTTACAATATCCTTACAGAGCATATTTTAATGCACTTGGTACAATTACATATTTTTTTTTTTTTTTTAAATTTTGCTACATAATATTTTTCACTATAAATACGAGATGAGTCATACATACATATATCCATATCTATATATACATAATAACTTTAAAATTCAGCATAACATATTTACTTTGACAAAAGTTTAGTAATTTCAAGTGATGGGTTTCCATTGTTCATGTTCTTAAATTCTTGCGATGCAAGAGAAACATTGACAAAATGTTGTAGATGATGAAATGCACTTTGCTAAAAAATAACAAACATAAATTTACAAATAGTGACTATTTCCCATTTTTTAAAATTAACAAAACAAAATAACATCATTTAATAGACAAAACGAAATTACTTATAACAACAGATTGTAACAATTTAACAAGTTACATCTTACAGTGAGCATATGCAACATATAAGGAAAATTTCTAAATTTAACTAGAAATAGAATGATCATTTCTTAGAAAATATATGAATAAATTTTTCTGATGGCACAGAAAACTTTTTCATCTAACTTCACTTTCAACGTAAGTAGCAGTACTTATGTTTTTCTCACCATTATTTTGAAGTTGTATCTCTAAGAAGAGAGAAAAGGGGTTAGCTTTAAAAGTAAAAATTATGTATCAGAATAAAAAAATTATGATATAAATCTGCAATGAATAGTACATATAAATGCATGCCTGTTGTCATGATGATTAACAATCCTGATAGGGGAAAAATAACTGAAGTATATCTTTCAGATATATATATGATGATTAAAAGGTTCAGTCTGTTGGCAAATTCTTACTACAGACTGCTAATTAACATATGACGATGTTCTTGACCATACTTTTCACTCCAAAATAGAAAACATATACATAACTGCTATGCAAAGCTTAATAGATATCACAAATGATGACCCAGAATCTCTTAGTAAGATAACAATTGACGATAACCAGAGAACCATGGTGTTTCAAGATGATTCATTCATGAAATGACAAACAAGCAAATGATCAAATTTGGAAACCCAAAATCAAAGAAGGTGAGGTCTGTAAAACTAAAAATCAGTATGATATTTAATACATTCTTTGAAGCTTGAGGGATTATATATTGTGTATTTAAACTGATGTAAAAATTGATAAACAGTCAGTAGCTTGTTCCACAAAAAGTGATACACTGAATTCAAAAATAAATCTCATCAGTTATGTTTGATGTCCATCAAACAAAAATATGGTTCCTTTTCATACCAGCTCTTTACCACACAACTCAATTACTTTTACCCAATTTTGGGGCTGAATATCATGGGATAACAAACATGTATTTCTTCCACTTGCAGGATTTATCTATAGCATATTTTGTTCTACTGTCAAAAGAAGAGAAAAATGAATGAGTGTATTTCAGATAAAAGATAATTGTATCCTTGTTTGGTATAAATTTACTCTATTAATTCTTAAGAACAATTACTACTGTTGTTGTTTTAGTTGAAATTTAATCTTGTATTGCATAAATTCGCAAACATGGCTGAAGATTTATTTAATCAAGTCTCCCCGCCCAATGAGAGGTTGGTTGAATCATTTTTTATTATTCTAATAATTTTTTTAACTTTATTCTTTAAAATTTTCACAAAATTTTTTGTATTTTATAAAACAAAATTGTTTGGTTTTATTACTTAATGATAAGAATTTATTACCACTTTTTTAAAATTCATTTTAAATTTGTATTTTTATTATTGTTTCATGAGGTTCTCAATATATTATCTCCAAGAAACTTTCAAAGTTTTCTCACCAATTTAAAGCTAAACTATCTTAAATAGAGAACAACCCTTTTTACAACAACCCTCTTACATTCCACCACTGAATAGAACGGCATTTCTAGCCATTTCATTTAATTTTTTTGCAGGCAAGTAAGTTAATTTTAACTTCCTTCCTGAGTTTGATCTTTAAATTTCTAATTAACTACTTTTAAACATGAATTTAAAGGATTATGTCAGTTTTGATCTTCTTTTGATTTTGAATTACTTTTTAATGTTAAAAAATGTATAACTTTTGTTCTTACTTTTGAATTTGAGTTTGAAAATGAGAGTGTCAGGATATACCTCTTCTAAAGTAAGGCTCTCGTTTAGCTGTCTTCTTCATGAACAACTTAAATTTAAAAGATTATTTACTAATTTAATTTGTTTATGAAGGTTCTTTTGGCTTAACTAATGTCTTTCTATTGATTGAGTATTATTTGTGACATATGATTCGGCTCCTGCAGAAATATAATTTGACCTTTATTTAGAAGAAAGCCAAAACACTCTCACTTAATTTAGTTGTTGTTAATTGATAGTAGATTGCTTTGTTCCCCTTCACAAGTCAATTCATCTGCGATCAACGACAATAGCTACTTTTTCAGTTCTTAAAATTTTTACTTTTGATTTTGGTATTTTTGTAATTAAGGATTCTTCTTTACAGATTTTTATTTTTTAAAGCAGTAGAGGTCTAGAAAAAAAACTAATTTAAAATACTAATTAAAATACTGACTACATTTTGTTTTTAATAATTCATGGTTGTAATTGAGTTTATGTTCCTTGGAGATGGTATATAAAATGTTTTTTAATTATAAATTATATATAAATATATGTGTCTTAGCATACATACAGACATGCACAAATATACATACATAATGAAAATAGCACCACAAATAATATGAAAACATATACAGCAATATAACAATAATTAAAGTATACATACATTTATAGATAAATAGATATGAAATGCAAGAGTAAATTGAGGATAGGCATCGAAAAAAACTAGAGTTAGATTTGAAAATATTTGCAAACATATTTGCATAAAAATAATTTTAAAAACATTGTTGAGTAGTATCTTAATTCTCAAATCTTTACAGTAAAAAAAAAGAGGAAATGAAACATGGAAGAAACTTTTTAGATGCAGTAACAAAGCAGTTCTTGTAAAAAAAAAAAAAAAAAAAAAAAAAACACCTATAGTTTATTAAAAAACTTTAAGATAAATTGAAGTTAAAATGCCATGTAAATCAATAAAAGAAACAATGGGCATATTGCACATATTTGCAAGCATACGCCTTAACTGAACTATAACAACAATTTAATCTATTTTACCCATTCTCCCATTCTACATCTATCACTTATTCCAAAATTTAGCTGCAGTTTATTATTATTATTATTATTATTATTAGAGCATAATTTGTTGTTTTTGATTTAAAAAATTTTTCTTTTAATATTTTTCAAGTTGTGGATGTATGTGCTCTTCTGTTAAAAAAATTCACCGAAAAACTTACAATACCTGAATTTGACTTTTAGAAGGCATTACCATACCTCTCTTTAAAGGCAGTGTTAAAGATATCTCATGAAGGAAATTTAATAATTTTATGATTTAAGTTATAGAACAGAGTTGATACTACTACTTAGAACAATGCTGCATTTAGTGCAAAGGGTTCTGAACAATGAAGTTTGGATTTTTTTCATGCAGAAACAAATCTCTGTCATGCAACAGCGATCTCATTTGCAGATTTCTCATCCTCTGACCCTACTATTCTGTCTTATTAACACTCTACAGAGCCAAATTTTTCAGATAATTCAAATTATCCAAAATGATAAGACTGGCAAATGATAAGCTGATGACAAATACCTGGTGGGGATAGTTGTGCTCCCTTGAAGTTGGAAAGGATTGGATTTCCAGAACCAACCATTTTATGGGAGTAGACCCGGGGTTTGATCTGAACCTTCTGAGAGTGGGTATAGTTATGGGACACATCTCTCCTGTCCATAGCCTCTTCTGTCCTAATTCAACCTAGGCCTCCTCATGGTCCTGCTGGTAAGCAGGTTCGCCTGGGCAATATCTAGACTGCCTCAATTTCTGGGGCAAATAGACTGGCTTCACAGGACTAGAGCCATCGTTTATTCGGAGGTAGGTTTAGGCTTGGCAAGGACCATACTGGTATTGTCTTGTCCACCCCTTGTTTGTGAACATTACATGGTTTGATATCGAAGGTTATCCTCGGGGGTTTGACTCCCCTTGGTCAACACTGGGGGGGGGCAATCGATGTCAAACTTTGACACTGTACTTTTTCGGTGGACGCGTAGCCTTGCATCACTGACTTGTGATTCCAAACCCAGACTCTGTGAAACAAAAATTGTTCCCCTGGGTTGACTGGGGGGGGGGGCTTATGCCACCTTGAACCGGCTCTAGGGGCTGGGCTGATTAACCATGTAATTCTGCCTCGAGCAATGCCAGGTCTGCATGCCCTTTTTATTGAAGAATTTATTTTTATTAGCATTACAAATTCAAATAGGAATAACATTCTTTTCTTTAAAATATATATATATATATAATTAAAAGAGAAATTCTAGTACGAATGCTAAAAAGCCGCTGAAATACTGTGGTTCCTTGAAAACTTTAACATAAGCAAAATAAGTAGCAATGAAATGTGTTATAAGAGAAAAATATAACATTACATTATTTACAAGTAAAAATCAATATTAATAGTAAGCAATAAGCTAATTGAATTAAAGTATATTTAAAACATAGTACAAGTATTAACTAATTATTCAAGCTAAAAATAAAAATTAAGAAGCAGTAAATGGCAGATTAGCCTAATTCGAACAATTCAGGCATATATATATATATATATATATATATATATATAAATTATAAATCATATTTCCAAAATTCCCTAAAAATAACTTATTATGCATTTGCTCTCTTCTACCACATATCATATTTAAAGATTTCTTAATTGCATCTGTAGTTACAATCAATATAGCTTAATAAAAATTTATCTTTTTTTCATTTATTTCATACTGTTTTCTTTAAAATATAGGAAAATAACTGATTTATTATAGAAAATAAAGAATACAAAATAACAAAATGGGAGAGCATTAATTTGTATATATTGCCAGCATTAAACTCTGTAACAAGAATGACGTTTTTTCAGATCGACTCATTTAATGAGTCAAATGACTTATTAAATGTCCCATTTCATCTAAAACTGAAAACTGTACAGAATCTATACTCTAAATTATTTGTAAATTACAGAATATATACTCTAAATTAGAATATATACTCTAAATTATTTATAAATTACAGTTATATCAATCATTAAATTCAGGAGTTAAATAATATTTTACTAGTACCTAACATTTAACATTAATTACACAAAAGGACAAACAGAACATGAAATTTCATAAAAGAATTAAAGTTTAGGGAATGTGTTCAAAGAGTATAATAGTTCAGGTCTGCAGCTTGTGTAGAACTAATTATTTTCCCCATATCATTGGTAGAGGGTGCTGCTGACGATATTCATTCGTTACAAGGTAGAAAAACAGATTACAACTAACACATACCTTTTGATTACTCTTCCACATATGCTTAATATAAGCAAATGTAACTTGTGGATATGTGCAAGGCAAAGGCAAGTCAGGTCTTGTTGAAGGGTCTACTCCAAGCAGCATGACTAGTGTTCGATTTGAAAGAGCCTAAAAGGAAATATACATGAAGGTAATATATAAATTATTAATTCTTCTAGATTTTATAGAAAAATTATTAAATTATTCTTTGTTCACTGCTTGTTATTGTGTACAGTTAATATCCATACCAGGTTACAAAAATAAAAATAATGTTCATTTAAATAATCATTTTTCGTGAAAAGATGGTCATAAATAAAGTTAGAGACAGCACAAGATACATTATTTTCATGTTAAATTCTTTTTGATATTTTACTTTTATGCTAATTTTTAAATAATACAGAAAAAGATTGCAAATCTGCCAAAACCTGAAACCCATATATCTTTTCAGATGTCAATAATGAAATCAGGACGGCTTTGGTAATTTTTGGCAACAATTTTCCTCTTTCAGTTGAAATAAGCTACCTCACCCTGTTGCTTATGACATTTGAAGCTACAACATATTTTACATTATTACATATAAATTACATTATTACATACATTTAAGCCCTTCTAGGTTGGATTTTTTATTTCAAATTTCTGACAACAACAACAACAAAAAAAAAGTATTTCTTTATTGCTGAAAATTAATATATGTCCTATCCTAAATTCGAAAATGTAAAATATTTTTGACAGTAAGCAGTTTTTGATGGACCCACAGGTGGTCAAGTATGTCACAAACTACTGATCACCAGTTTTCAATGCAATGTACCCAAGTTTTAAATTTAAGGAAAAAAAAAAAAAAGTGATACTATACTGTTTTGATGTGTTTAATGTAAATATCTACATAAAAATAATTATTAAAATTGCATGAAAATGGATTTCCAACCTTACCATTACAGCTTTACAACCTGCCTTGGGCATCAGAGCATAAAAACCAAATTTATTACAAAACCAAAATTATTTAGTTAATCAAGAAAATTTTTTTTTGCTTACTTTATAAACAAAAGTTGGCTATAAATATCAAAAATATCTTGAATGTGTTTTTAGGTGAAATTCTAACAGATATCATGCAGATATTCAATAACAGATATTCAAGGCAGTGCGAAAATTGTGAAGAAACTAGGACTAGTTGCGGTATCTCTTTGCAATATTCAGAAGTAAAAAAATACTCGCGGAATTTAAAGCGATAAATTCAGTTTCAACGACATAATTTTTCACTTTGTCGCATTGCATGCGATGCCGATCTTACAGCCACAAAAACGGCGAAGGTGTGAGACGTGATGCTGACCAAGAAGGGGTTGAAGCTGCTATATTTAATACATATTTTGGCAGTCCATCAAATAGAACAAAGAATGATCACCAAAATCCCTATCTGTTATGATTTTCCCCCTGTTAAGTTTTCATAATACTGTTAGTGATACCGAAAATAAAACTACTGAATGAAGAAGTTATTTTTTCCCAGTCATTTTTTCATTCCCAGTCCAGTAAGTCAGACTATTTTATGGAAGTTTTAAGATAGTTTCATTTTAAGAAAGAAGAACTTGAGATAATTAATTAATTATATGCCAATTCTAAATTTCAACACCAAGAATGATAAGCATTAGGAGTTTTTATTAATGAACCCGTAAAATATATAAAAAAAAAACCCTACCAGACGCCCAGCTCGTCTACAGAGACTTGCATATTTTAACCATGATCTCATATCTTCTTGAGGACTAACAACCAAAGAATGGACTTGCATAATTTTCTGCCAATCTTCAACAATTTTTTGACATCCCTATTAAAAAAAAAAAAAAAAAATAATTAAAAACTTACAAAAACTAACAAACTGCCAAAGATAAAATTTTAACAATATTTAGGGAAACATGAAAAGGGAAGTGTGACTGGAAAGATATATAAAAGGCAAAATATTTTTTATTACAAAGCTATTACATACGAGAGAAGGAAAGGGTAATAATAATGAAATGAGAAACAATGATAAACATAGAATATTTTACCGAATAACCTACAGTTCACTTATCAGATACATACCTGAAGCCTATCCCACCATTTCTGTTTGATTGCATCTCGTCGTTCAGGTATCAACTTATACTGAATTACTTCCTCTAGTTCAGACATCATTTGAACGTGAACCATTGCCTAAGATAAAAATATAACAAATGGAGGAAAACACAAAAAATTAGGCAAAATAAAAGCACAAAATTCCTAAAGAAGTTAAAAAAAAAAAATAAATAAATCTCACACCTGAAGTGCTATTTGAGAGACACATTGTAAAGTTATTAAACACATGAATTTGGTTTTCAGGTAGAAATTTATATTAAAACACATATACACAGAAATTTGGAAACTATATTAATAATAAAAATATTCACAGAAAATTAACGATTTTTTTACAATAAGCATAATTTTTTTTTGATACATCAAATTTTAATTAGATTTTGTACAACCATATGGTTTTAAACATTATTAAAAAAAAACTCACGCCATAAGCACGACTGTAACTCTCACCAGCAAGAGCTGTCAACTCGGTGTCAAGAAGGTCCCGGGCTTTATCTATAAACTAGAATAAAAAAATGCACATTATAAAAATGCTCTTTGCAGAAACACCAGTATATTTTAATTTTGTTTTATAAACACTTCAAATTTTAGACAAAAAAGGGATTAGGAATGTATTTAATTTTTTATTGCCCCCCCCCAAAAAAAAGAATTGATTCAATCAATGTTTTTTGTTTGATAAAATGCCTGAAATTGATCACTTTGTTACATAATGTGAAGTACCCAAATTTAAGATACGATTTTATTTTAAATTTATGATGCCTGTCTTCTCCATAGAAATAGTTGCAGCCAAATGATGGATTATTTGATAGTTAACACAGTTTTCTTCTTCTTTTAAGTTTGATAGACTTGGGTTATGTTAAAAAGTCAATATTTTTTTTTTTTTTTTTAATAAATTCAGAAGAGATGAAAAATATGCAATACCCTCACCTGGATTCGAACCTGGACTTCTCAATTACGCGCCTAGTGTGCTACCGTTACACCACAAAGGCATGTAGAAAAGAGGGGGAAAATACCTTATAATGTATACGATTTATCACAATGTGACTGCAGATAGACTGCAAAGGATATAAAATAGGACATTCTTATCTCAAAGGAGGTGAATATTCTTCGCATTTCATAGACAGCATTAACAAAATTACCTAAAGAACATGTCAATTCTAGGCATTGCACAGCCATGTGCATATAAGATAGCAGACATTCAGAGTTACAGAAAGAACATGATTGCTAACACTAAGGGATCTGAACTACTCAGAAATGGGGAACATTTCATTAACTCATATCCTAATTTGATAATGGTGCAATTTAAGTCAGCAATCAATGGATTCATTGTGTTTCATAAAGTTTTGAGGATGTTGCCCAACAGTTACATTGCTGAAATCTTCATAGTTTTAGATAATGTACTACATTTGAGTCATATTTTGAAATCAGTCTTATCACATCAACTGTAAATCAAAGATATTATGTGATCTGATCATACAGATAACATTTTCAATCATTTATAGCAAATGGACATACTGGTAAGTGGAAAACTACATCAGGGTATAGACTAATCATATTAGAAAGCTTTGTACAAGCTGGTAATTTCTCTGCCACAGAGCAGGGAATAATTGTTACGAAATGTCCAGGCGCTGGTGACAAAATTGAAGATATAGCATGGACGGATGGAGAACCTTCTGGAACGAATTCTTAATGGTTTAGCCCAGAATGTTCTCGAACAAAAGCCGAAAGCTATATAAACCCTGCTGGTCCGCGGTCAGTGCCAGTGTGCGTCGTCTAGCGAGCTGATAGTCAGTCCTTGAGCGAGTGTCTCGAAGTCTAGCGCCGAGTTTGTCGTCGAGTGCATCGAGAGAGTCTTTTAGTGTATCACAAGTTGTAACGTGGAGAGCCTCGAGAGTACGTGGAGTGCCGAGAACGACCAAGCAGAATCGGGAGCTGTACTCTGGTGCTTTGCAGTGAAGCTGTCTCAACCGTTATAGCCTGATAGTGTGAAGGCTGTATCGCTGATTGTGTCAACATGTTTATAGTAGTTCTTCTACGACTGTAAAATGCGATTTTCGAACTGCCCTGATTAATATTGGCTAAATAAAGTGTGTTTTGATACTTCATCAAGTGTCGTCAAAATTCACTCCAAATCCATACGAACCCCGTACGAACTGGTATCAGAAAATAACGCAACAATATGTTGAAATATATGATCTAGATTCTTCTTTGGAGGAAGATATTATAGATCAATTTCAGGCATTTTTATCAACACTATATTCATTTGTGGTGATAGTTTGTATTTATGGGATAATGCATAAGTGATACAAAAGTTGAATCTTCTGAATCTGAGATCATTTTTCTGATTTACTATTATACACTTCACTGACTTCTGCAAATAATCAATTAAAATCCTCTTGAGTACTATTAACAGAATGCCTTCCAATGATATTTGATAAATAAGGCTACATTATATACATTGTTAACCACAGAATGGTACCTAGCTTGGTAAACTTTAATTAGCACCTTACTGATTTGACATCACACAGATTTCACATCACAATAATTAACTGCAATTATTTATTTGAATTTAAGAGAAGCCTGCATGTTATTACTTATATATGGATAATGTTTTAACATTTCATGTTACATTAAAAAGTGGTTACATTGTAGAGACATCAAGTTATTTTGAAGCCATGAAAAATGAGCAATGCCCTTGGCAGGATTCGAACCTGGACCTCTCGGATATGTGCCGAGTGTGCTAACCGTTACACTATGAAGGCATGCTGGAAGGGGGAGAAAATACCTTATAACATCCTAGGAGGCCTATAGTTACAATTTTTATTTTTATTTAATAAAATATTTGTATAACAAATTAAACCTTTTGTAATAGCTAATGTTCAAACAAATAATGGCATACTATGTAGAAGGAATTAACATATATTACAAAGTCTGAAATCCAAATGTCCAACACCTGGAATGATCTAATATCCATAATTCTGGGCAACCAACCAAATAAATAAAGAAATAAAATAATACCTCCCCCCCACACACACAAAGTCAAGGAATGAAGAATATAATAAAAAAGGAAGCAAGACTGCAGTAGACGCAATTTTTCACCACATAAACTGATATTTCTGTGTGTCACTATCAAATACCATTCTGGCTAAGGGAGTCCCATCGTGGACAATAACAATGCATTAATGCACATTTTTTACTGATGTTACCCAGAATCACACTTTCGGCCCTTGAGTGATTGGGGGAGGGGCGGCAAGGCTGACACTATGCACTTTGCCACCCACATAATTAAAAAAGTATTTCTTAAAAAATACATAACCTAAAAAGGTATTTCTAAAATAGAGAGAAGACAAATAGCAGAGCAAAAATACGATGGTTTCTATTGGAATTACAACTATAGCTATTTTTTGAACGACAGTATCGCGAAGCACGATCTCCTGATAACGACAACACTCACTGTTGCCAGAACTTATCTAAACTATATATTATATTATTATTATTTTTATTAACATACTTTAATACTTCCCCTTGTAAAAAATAATAATAATAATAAATTAAAGAAAAAGTCACATCTTAAGTCCCATCTTATCACAAAGAATTAACAGTCTCAATTTAAATAAAGGTTTAGTCATTATGTCAGCAACTTGCGCCTCTGTAGGTACCTGCTGCACAAAGATTTCCTTTTCTAGAACTTTCTCTCGTATGAAAAAGTGCTTGATATCAATGTGTTTTGTGCGTCGATGAAACTCCGGGTTTTGTGACAGGCTCACTGCAGCGGTGCTGTCTACTTGAATTACTGGAGTTTCACGTAACTTGGTTACATCACTAAATACTCGCTTTAACCAAATTACTTCTCTAGAACATTCACTAGCTGCAATTACTTCTGCTTCAGTCGTCGAAGTTGCAACACTGTTTGCCTTTGGCTAATCCATGATATAGCTCCACCACTATATAATATCACTACTCCACTCGTTGATTTTCCTGTTTCTTGACAGCTTCCAAAATCTGCATCACTATAGCATTCTAGAATTCTTGGTTTGTATTTATTCTTGTATGTAACACCTTTAGTTAGAGAACCTGCTATGTATCTGAATACACGTTTCACTTTTGTCCAATCATCTTTCGAAGGATTTTCTAGGTAACGTGATAGAATGCCAACACAGTAAGCTAAATCTGGTCTTGTGCCTAACATAAGATACATTAAAGCTCCTACAGCTTCTCTATAAGGAAAAATTTCTCTGTTTGATTTATCTTCCTTTTTCTTTTCAGTTAGACCTTCCTTCAGGATAGGAGTTGACACTGGCTTGCAATCTTCCATCCCAAATTTTTGAAGAATTTTTCTTGCATAAGCTTGCTCACTAATTTTAATACTTCCATCTTCAAGATGTTTAATTTCAAGTCCAAGAAAGTATACTGCTGGTTTAGTTGTGATTCTGAATCTCGAATTCAATTCTCTGAGAAATTTTTCAGATTCTTGTAGATCTGTTGATGCTACTAAACCATCATCTACATATATAAACATACGATTAGCTTCTTGCCGTTATTGTTTCTTATATATAAGCATGGATCAGCTTCACTTGTCTTGAAGCCTAGCTGTGACACAAAATCTCCAAAATACTTATTCCAGCAGCGTGATGGTTGTTTAAGTCCATACAAACTGCGTTTCAACTTACAGACTTTCTTCGAACCGTCACTATATCCTTCTGGTTGCTGCATGTATATAGATTCTTCAAGTTTTCCACATAAGAATGCTGAACCGACATCACTGAGAAAGATGCATTTTCTCATTGGCTGCGATGCTCAAAACTGAACGAATAATTCCTAACTTTGTTACTGGACTAAATGTTTGATCATAATCAACTCCAAAACGTTGAGTACATCCTTTGGCAACAAGTCTAGCCTTGAATTTATCAATAGATCCATCAGGATTCCTTTTGATCTTATAAACCCACTTGCATGGTAGAGCTTTAGCATCTTTTGGTAATTTTTCTAAACTCCATGTTTCATTCTCTATCAATGATTTCATCTCTGAATCCATAGCTTCTGTCCAATTAACACTTTGCTTACAGTTGATCGCTTGTTCATAAGATTCGGGCCCTTCAGAATCAATAATAAAAGCTTCACTTATCATTATATAATCTTCAAAACGCTTTGGCTTTCTCAAGTCAGCTCTATCTCTTAGGTATCTTGACTGTGCATTATTTTGCAAATTAATATCTTCACATTCTTGTCTTTCAAAATGTTCTTCTGATATATTTCCAGATATTTCTTTGTTGTATTCTTTTTCTGAATTATCTTCTTCACAAAGAAACTTTCTGAATTATCTTTTTCTGAATTTTGTTGATGTTCAGAGCCAGAATGAAATTAGGCTATCTTGATCTTGAATAGGTAACTGCAACCTTTCTTCACAATTTGTGAGCTTTTCGTTAAATATAATATCACGTGAACAGATCACACTATTGGTTTCTTTGATCCATAGTCGGTATCTTTCGTCTCATCATTAAC